ATTATTTCTCTCTAAATTATTTCCATTCTCATGACCGATAGTAGCCAGCTTTGTATAGGATCTTATAAGGTTCCAAAGGTCAAAAATGAAATATTATATTTTACTGCAATAATTCCGCTCTCTTGGTATGCAATGCACATACCCAGTATTTGCATATCCGCCTTTCTATAGCAACTAGGTGAGTCACAGGTATGCGACGTTTGCTGAAACAGTGGACTAGTAATTGAAGCAGATCGTCTTCAGATTCAACGATGTAGTTGTAGTTGATCTGAAGTTCAGCCATCAAATGTTTTGATGTAGTGAATTTTTCTCACTGATTTAAGGCTTATGCAGTTAACAAGAAAGTGCTTGTAATCTTCTGTTCCTTCCATACACAATTTGCACTCTGCAGTGCCAGATTTTGTTGAATCAAAGCGGCTGTTAATACTTTAAGTTTTATATGTACCAGTCAATATTCTGGACTTTATTATTCCTTTAACAACATCTCGCTTGTTGTCTCTGACACTGCTCCAACATGTATTACTTTTTCGGAAGTTCCAATTTCTCACTTCCATATGATTCAGTGATGTTTTGGTTTCAGCTATCTCAGACCATTTTGTTTTCCAAGTTGAATCTATCATATCATGAGTCAGTTTTTCCAGTTTTTCTTTGGGTTTAAGATTGTCTCATGTGCAGATGGTAATTTGTATAACTTGAGAATATTATCTACTTTTATATACCAACTGTTGGAGTTACCATCTTTTGTTGCTAATTGTCTTATTCCTATTTTATGCTCAATTGAATTTGTATCTTTTGGAATTCTAAGGAACAGAGAAATCATTGCTTTGTGGATTAGTTGTTCTATGGATTCTGCCTCAAGCAAGATATAGATTGCAGCATCTGCTGTCCGTTGTGGTAGCGACAGTAGTTGTTTATAAGTCTTATTCTGAAAGTTTTCTAGTTCTAAAATGTCCGTCTTGGTTCAGAATTTCTATACCATATAGCATTCTAGGTATGACATATGTTCGCCTGAGTTTGTACGATATCAATGGATTTATTCCGTTTATTCCATGTAGACCTGCTCCCATGAGTGAGTACATAGTTGCTCACTCACTAGCAGTAGAGATTCTCTTTAATACATGTGGGCTATTTCGGTCCTGTCTTTCAATACCCAGGTGCTTTATGTTCTGTTTTTCGCTCATCTTCTCGTTAAAAAGTTTAAGGTTAGGTTTTTTGTTCTTATTGTTGATCAACAGTATTTCAGTCTTTTTACTATTGATCTTAACTCATTATCGATCATTTTTGGTACATCTTTCAATGATGCGGAGTTGAGCTGATGCATCCTGTTCCGATGTTGCGCATAGCATAATATCATCTGCGCATGTTGGGCAACCCAAATAATTGGTTCCGATTTTAAAACCGATATTTGTTGCTTCGAGTGTATCTAGAATATTCTTATTGTAAGCTTTGTAAAAGTTAGCTGATAAAATACCTCCCTGCTTTACTCCTTGCTCGTTAGTGAATGCTTCTAAGATACGTCCGTGAGATTTTACTTGGGTTGATGTATTATTATAAAGTTCTCTGATCAGTAGCAAGGTTGAACCTGTGATTCCTTGGTGATATAATTTCCAAAAAAGATGTATGTGAGCTACGACATCGAATGCTTTTTCTGCATCTAGGGTGATTTCATTCTTATCTTTTGCCTCATTGATGGCTTCGGTAATTAAAAGAGCAATATTTATTGAGTAAGCACCTTTTGTGAAACCTATTTGCAGTTTATATTGTTGTTTGTTTAAAGTGCCTTCAATCCTAGCTCTCAAACAGAGTTCTAAAACTTTAAAAATGATCGAGATGACTGTTATTCCTCAATAATTTGATGGTATTGTTGGGTCCTTGTCTTTTTTATGGACTTGAGTTAGAAGTCTAGGATCAGGCACATGTTTTGTATAGAAGATGTTATTAATGAGAGTTGTCAAGTAGTCAATTAAAGCTAAACCTCCGTATATAAGATGTTCAGATGTTAAACCTTCTACATCTTCAGATTTCCGTTTTTTTTAGTTGTGAAACCAGTTTTGATATCTCATTGGAGGTAACTGGTTGAATGGGTATTTCTTCATTTTCACATAATTTGACTATTGTTTCTGCATCTAAGTTGACCAAGATGTTATGTTCTTCATTGAATAGATGATTCACCTTTGTTTTTGCTAAGTTTGCAAAATGTTCCTTAAATAGATCATTCATATCATCTGGGGTGGATGCTTCCTTGTCCGTCGTTTGTAGAGTGTGAGTGAATTGGGAGGAAGAGGATCTTTGAGTTTTTATTAATCTTAAGAAAATATCTTTGTCCCTGTCAGATGCTCTCATAATTTCTTCATGGAGTTGATTTCTTTTGTCAGCACTTTGTTGTCTTTGTATTGTTCTTACTGTACGTTTGGAATCAAGCCTATGTATGTTATATATATTATCTTTAGAAGGAGGTGATCCTGCTTTTTTCCAGAGGTAGAAGGCCTTTTTTGTTTTACTGACCGCATTAGCCAACTTTGGTGACCAACTTATCTTTTTCTTCCTACTAAACTTTGATTTCCTCCGAGAATAGCATGTTTCTGGTGCATTGTTTAAACCATTAAGTAATTGGTTTGTAGCTTGATCAATTCCATAAGGTGTTCTTATATTTAGATATTTTCTATCCTTTAGTTCTGCTTGCACTTTTAGTGCATAGTTATCTTTATTTACTTTTTCCCAGTTGATTTTGGTACAGGTATTTTCTCTGTACTGTTTCTGGTTGTTCCTTGGTTCTATACAAAGATTGGCAGACACAGGGCAATGGTCAGAGGTGTTGTGACCTACACTTAGGATCTTGACCTGAATAAGTTCCCTTAGTCTTTTATCATTCTCAATAGATTTGACCAATATGTAGTCAATTTGTGATCTAGATTCTCCTTGGAAATATGTGTGATCAGTTGGGGTATTTGACTGGAGGTTCTATTTGATTTTCTTCGCAAAACTGTTTAAACAGTTCATCTTGGGAGTCCTTGTACTGTCTAATGAACGAGGCGTTACAGTCCCCCGCAATAACAATTGAGTGGGTTTCTTGGTACTTAAGGATAATTTCTTTTAGAGTGTCTAAGGATGCTCTATAAGTATCATGTCCTTTATCCGTACCTCTAGAAGGAAGATATACATTAACAAGGCAGGTAGGATTTCCGACTGTTGATATTTCAATAGCTTGTATTCTGTTGTTTCTGTCTGAAAGTTGAGAAAACATTGAAGACATAGACTTTCTGTATAAGGTTGCAATACCGCCGTGTCCTCTTGGTCTAACAATTGGGGACACTGGTTCATCATCATCAATATGTCTAGAAAATGTAATAAAGTCTGAATGATGTTGTTTCAATAGTTCTTTTTCGTAGTTAAAGAGCCAGTGTTCTTGCAAGAGAATGATGTCATGTTTATCGAGCAGTTCATTGAGGTAATTTTTGTTAGAGCTGAAGCCTTTAATGTTGAAAGAGAGAATACGTAGTGGACTGGCTTTTCCCAAGGTTACATCATTCTTTTCACAGGGGGCGCTATATCTGGATCTAGAACAATGGTTTGTCCTTTGTCTAAAAAAGAGTTTCCATTTTTAGCGCACTGTGAGTATGGTGATTTGGCTTTGGTTGAGCTGTATTGGGACAGTTGTCTGATTGATTTGTCTCCTTCATAATACCTTCTTACCCAATTGTTTAATATCAATGCGGACGGGCCAAATCCAATTAAAGTTTATTTCATTTTCATCGCGATTTTATTCATATGACATTCATAGCGTTGACTATCCATATCAATCAACCAATCAATTTTTGGTATTCATTAATATCACTTCGTTGAAGGAACATATATGCGGAATTTTATAAATAAGTTGCAAATTGAAAGGCAAAGTCTCCCAACAGAATAAAAATGTCCATATATTACAAAAATAAAAAGGGAATAAAACTGGTTAAATCTGTCATATGGGATAAAATCGAGATGCAAATGTAATAAACTATAATGAAATAGAAAGAGCTTTTTGTATTGTCATTTGTTAAATGCCCGGGCCCTAAATGGGTCCTTAACTTGGGTTGAGATTACGTTATAGTAGTCTTGGACTAGGTTAATATGATTTCATATATATATAGGTATTTGCAATCATATGTGGTATGATTGTCAATGAGACAACTATCAATCAAGACCAAAAGACAAAGACTGACAACGGTTACCCACGGTTCACAAAACAGTCGGTAAAAAAGCGGCCAGTCTGTCGTACATGTTATAGTGAGTTTTACATTACAGCATGGCAATGGTGCGATCACGACATGCTAATCTAATAAGCCAACTGATTTGGCTCGCTAATCTTCGATTTAACAACATGTAGTTAAAAAAACATCAATGTTAGTCTAAACTATGCAGCCGGTGAACAAAAATGAAGGATGCGCTAGACTTCTCCTTGTTCCCTCCATAAAATTTTAAGGTCACTCAAGGATTTATAACTTGCATACAATATAAGTTCAGACTCCTTATGTCACCATACAAGAGGGTCTGGATGGGGGAACCTTCATTTCTGTATTCTTTATTTTTTTATGCCATTTTTCTTTATTCTTTATACTTTTACCCATTATTCTCTATTCTTTATATATTAGCACCACATTATTCTCTATTCTTTCAAATCAAATCAAATCAAAGTTTTATTTATTGTCAATACATTGCAAACAAAGTAACACAAGCTCTAGTGAGCTTTTAAAATCGACATTATAATACATATTACACACAAACAAACTGATGACATGCAAACATACACACATATTAAGACAAACAAATTTTCTTTATTTTTTTGGGGTCCATTTTTCTCTATTCTTTATATTTTTTGCCCATTATTCTCTATTCTGTAAACCCCAAATCCACACCCTCATACAACCTCCATGAAGTTTTTAAAAATTCTGTTGTGTTGTCGTGGTGCGCCTCTAATGAAACGTTTGATATGGATTTTTGTTAGATCTCAAATAGCGGGAAGAAGTTATCTCCCTTGATCATGTGGATAGGACGTTGACAAAAACTGTATTGTAACAGATTTGTCTTGGATGGCAGCTAACATATCAGATGTCGATGTATTATTAGAAGAGAATATTGTTGATAGACCATTTTGTTCACACGGTATAACTAATTGTTTCATACAAATGACATAAACAGTATACTGACTTTACTGTGCGACCAAGTAAAAAAAAATCTCTGTCAGTCTGTGCCTGTGGACTCGGAATCCCAAAAATTATACACCCCAAATGTAAAATATGTAAAATAAACAGTAAATGCTATTCACGGCATGCTAATGTTATCGAACAACCTCTGTACATAATTTTATGAATTTATCAAGTAATGTAAAATCCTTGTATGTCTTGGTACCTTTGCTTCTTAGGCTTCTGATCGTAGAATAAGCCACAGGCTTCTGATCGTAAAATAAGCCATAGGCTTCTACAAATCCCTCATCTTGGAATGTCCTAATGAGAATTTCTCATCACGTAATATTGATTTGTATATTATATATGTTTTACTTATTAAAATTAAATTATATATAGGTGTGTGCAATTAAGATGAATTTATAAACTTATACGGGTTACTCTAATTGAAAAAGTATTTAATATACATGTATGATAAGAAAGATAAGATAAGATATTTATTAGTATAAAATCCAAACAATTGATTGCTACTAAAACATAAAGTAACACAAATAAAATACAAACAATACAAATATGTAACATTTACAAAAACTATATTCTTAGTTTTTTTCTTACATGATAGACAACATGCCTCCCCTCAAATTAGCATACAATTATTGTGTCGCCCTACACTGTTGCTTAAAAAGTTTTAATAAGTGACCTCTAGTTGAATTAGATGGTGCTAATGTAATGGTGGTCACTTTGTTTACTTGTTTAGATTATTTATGTTGGGGGAAATTGGTTAAAGTTAGCATTATTCATAGTTCCGTAACTATTTTCATGATACCTGCCAAGTAAATATTCTTGTCAGGTTACTTCCTGTTTCGTGCACATGCCTGATAGCCAACCGGGCTTGTTGTCCCTAGGAACTATAAATATGACGTCAATCATCGGGTTCAGGACAGTCTACCGGTTAGGATTTGAAATGAATGAGCAGACACTTATAACTTGGCTCCCAGTAATGGAACATTTCATAAGGCAACAAATAGACTAGCCACCACTGTATTTGGATATTTATTGTATATAAACTTGTGTTCAACCATGTCTTCTAAATTAACTTTTCTTTTATATTCATTAATGTTATAAGTTTGTCCAATATCCCAGAACTTGAGTAGACCAGGGCCCACACTACCATGACTACTTCAGAATCATAGGGAGAAGTGACTTCTCGTTTTGAAACTAATAGGGAGAAGTGGTGAGACTTTAAAGAGAAGTGCTCGTTTGCTTGCGGCACTACAATGTTTTGTTTTTACCATAATATAAAGAGCCATATGTATCCTATTTATTTAAATCTTTTTTATATTGTTCAATTCATACCTGAGAATAGAATTAAAGTAACAGTTGTTTCAGTTTATGTACTAAATAATCATTTATAGTTACTCAATTATATATTTTCCTCTTTTTCCTCAGAAACTTCCAACTATATATATCTAGCACTAAAAAGATCTTTTCATAGCAAAAAAAGAAAAGAAAGTATATATCAATTAAAATTCAGTCGAAAAAACTATTCTGTTTTTCATTTTAAACTTTATGAAATTCTTTGTTTCTCATTAAAAAGATAAATGAATTTAACAAAGTTAAGCAACTTTTGTCAATAAATTGAAACAATGCATTTACATGGAAATATAAACATTTAGCAAGGAGATCTATCAAAAGTTTTTTATGCGCCTGGAATGCAAAATTTTCGCTTTTGGGGTCATTATTCTTCTGTCAGCTGTTCCATTGGTGCGTCTGTAGTTATATTCATAAGAATACGGAATTCGGTCATAGCTGATCCGCTTCTGATGAATCCCGCCTCCAATCCATGGTTCTTACAAATATTTCAATGGAAGACAAAGAAAAATTTACGAAAATAAGCAATGTTTGACAAGCGAAAGGAATATGATGCTTTTAATGCAAAAAATGGATGAAACATTAACCAAAGACAATTTTTATCACGTTCTAATGAAGAAACAAATAGTTTGCCGAAAATCATAATGTTTTGATATACGCTCTCGAGTAACAATTACCGGAAGTGAAAGAAAATACTTCATCAGAGTTGTTTCTTTGAAATAACATACGACCAATCTGTAAAGTCAATACTTTCAAAGCTTTTCTAATAGTCCAGTCTATTTGTGAAACAATTGTTCAGATTGTGGTAAAAGCGTCAAATTTTGCAGAGCTTTAGTTGAGGTCATAAGTAACATTTACAGCTATGGACTCAATTCGAAAAATCAAAACGGCTGCTCTGGGTGGCCATTTTGAAATGGCCTAAAAAAAATTAATTATTATCATTAAAAAAAATATAAAAAATAAATGACTTTACCAATTTTGATAACCTTTCTTATATTCATCACTAATGACAAAGACAATCATCTGAGGACTCATAAAATAAAGTATTGGCGGCCATCTTGAATGGTGGCCATTTTGAAAACATAAATTTCCAATATATCATTATTATTTATCCTAAATTAATATTTGCATTTATACTAATGTTTTTATGCATTTACAACTAGTTTTGCTAATCATTTATATATGACTGTTGCTAATTGTATCAGATATTCACCAAGTGGTCAAAAAAGGCATGCATATGTCAACAAAATAAGTGTATCAAAAGAAATACATAATGTCTCTTACTTGCAGGTTAGCCTAAGTTACTTTTTACCACACCAAAATATGTATATACAATATAGTTTATGACCACTCTATGTCGAAAAGGGAAAAAAAATGTAGGTATTTAAATCACTGGGGCTGAAAACCCTAATGAACAAATAGACTTAAAGAATTACAAAACGACAAGACCGGGTCCGTGAGGATTTACAATGTCAAGCAGATACAAAAAGAGCATAACATAGAAATTTGATTCCTTTGTTGTAAGCATACAAAGATGTTGAACATTGAATTTGTATCTCACATCGTTCAACTGTTCTAAGTTGATGAAGGCCATGGAATGGAATCCTGTCAAAACACATTTTCAGATCTCAATAAATTTCGACAAGAAAAAAAAATTATATTGTACAGTAAACACCTTGGGCAAATCAGCGGAAGGAATGATTAATACAACGCTTCTGAAAAATTTGATACTAACTGCCATAGAAGATATGCAAGAACTCAAGCAAGGTAGTGTCGTTCTCCTGCTTTTCAACGAATATGTTGGTGAAGGTCTAAAACAGGCCATGTCTCATAGTTGTGATGATGAAGGCCTCATCATAGCCAAAGTAACTAGAATAGTTTGTAGAGATAGGCTAGCTACTATAAAAAGCTTTACAGGGACATTCAATGAAGGCTTTCAAATGAATCCGTTACACAAACATTGAGACATTTTACTCTCTATCTGGGGAATGATAATTTGCAGTTGTATCCTTTCGACGTCGAGTTGCACAATTGAAGTTTTATAGCTGCTAAATAGCAACTACTGTCTGCGACTATTACTGGATATTGTCTCGATGTGTGGTCATCCTTGTATCATTCTTACTAAGGAAACTAACGTCTGTTGAACTGATTCGTGTTGGCAGCTGTTGAATGCCCCTGTAAAAAGCTATGCTTAGTATCAAGCATATCTCTTTAAACTCTTTTGCCTGATATGTCTATGATGATGTCTTCATTTTCACCCTCTCAAGATATGGTCTGTTTTAGAGCTTCACGAATACCTTCGTTGAAAATCAAGAGAACTAACCTACCTTGCTTGTATGCTTGCAGATCTTCTATGGCAGCTACATTCCAATTTTTTTGATGAGTTGTGAAGGTTCTTCCTTCCATGACTACTCCAAGCGGTTACTGTACAATTTAATGTGATCTGTAAGCTTGAAGATTGGCCCAAAAACTGTTCCAGACCGTGCGGCCCATCAATGTATTCTATTATTTCGGAAAACAAAATTCCAAGTATAAAAGATTCATAGCCTTCTTTCTGTGTTTTTTTTTAATTCTGTCTATTTGTTATGTTTTCAAGTTTTATCAATCATTAAGCTTGATACTTGTGATATTACATCTCCAACACTTAGTTTTGCTAAGAGAACATTGTCTTGTAGTACAGGTGCACAGTCATGCACTATTTTTGTCGATTAAAAATGACAATGCATCATGGAGATCTTCAGATACATCACCACAGAAAAAATACACTGCAGTCATTGTTCTTGTTGATCCAGTACTAGTACCACTTTACAGTGTCTGGTTGGTAACTGTTACTTCCAAATTATGTTTCCGCTTTTACTGATGAAATATTTGAGATCTGAAAATTTGTCTTGACATAATTTGTCCCATTTTGCCTTGTGATTCTGGAGTGCTTCTGCAGTTCCGTAGCATAGCCTTCATTCAACTGTTTCAAATTGAGCGATTAAAGAACCAATTCAAGGCGCAACATATTTCTATGCTTGCATCAAAGGACTGATTACCAGCTCAAATGTCTTTGTCTGTTCTTTTTGTATCTGCTTGACATTGCAAATCCTCACATGTTTTCTCTTGCCGTTTCACACATTTCTTCTATATAGATATAAGAAGATGTGGTATGAGACAACTCTCCATCCAAGTCAAAATTTATAAAAGTTAACCATTATAGGTCACAGTACGGTCTTCAACCCGGAGCCTTGGATCACACCGAACAGTAAGCTATAAAGGGCCCCAAAAAATTACTAGTGTAAAATAAAAATCTCTGTTATTCTATATTGAGCAAGCGATAGTTTGGATGTTGCGTTATGCGTAACATTTCATTTTACAGTCCTCTTCGCGGTCAGTGTTTAAACTATGTCGATTACTTTGGAACATAAGAGACAATGATTCAGATTTTAATAACTTAAGTTTCAAGTGTTGGGTGTATATTTCTGGATAAAGACAATATATGTACATTGTCGGAAATTCATTTGTATTTGTACGAAATAGTAGAAAAACTCGGCGGGCCTTGCATTTCGTTGTGTTTCTAAAGCTCATACAAATACGTTTCTATATGTTTGACAATGTACATATTTGTATATTTATTTTTATCGAATAATGACTTTGGAGCTCTACCTATTTTGGCTAATAAATTTCAAGATTTTTTAAGATGGCCGCCATTCAATATGGGTTACATTTTTTAAAATTTTGTTCAACAAGACAATTGGTATAAGCACTGTCATTCTATTTACCAGGTATCATGTCAATATCTTCTCTAATATATTTTTCATGATTTTTTTTATGAATATATAGAAATCAAACGTCCACCATTTTAAAAATGGCAGCCTCTCCCGCCACTTTCGTCTTTCAGAGTGGGTCCATAGCTGGAAATGTTGTCCACGACATATACTAATACTATGCCAAATTTCATGCTTTTACCACAATCTGTGCAATTTTGCCAAAAATCTGCACAAATCGACTGGACTATAAAGAAATAAATCGTTTCTGTCTTTGAATTTCTTTACTTATAAATGAAAATTTGCTGTTTTATTGACTTGATAAAAATGGGAAATTGACAATGACGAAAGCGACTGCTTTTGACGGTCGGGCAAAGCGAAGTGACGGATATGAAAGCAACTTTTTCGCCCCAGTGGCCTGCTAACATTAGCCCTGTAGACAATGGGAAGACAACGATGTAGTGTGAAAAACATACTCCTGTTACACTTAAGTATAAAGATTCATCCAGTTGATACAACCAATACCATGTAAAGTTTTGTAGACTTGAATCATGTCATTTCTCTGGTGACGATATTCCAACCTTGCTAATCCCAATATACGTAATCTATCCTCATAAATGTTTTATATCCTTAACGAGTTTTGTGGCCCTTCTTTGAACAGATTCCAAATTATGAATATCTTTTTTTAAGGTACGGAGACCTAGCACATGTATCATATTCTAACAATTGACTTATAAAGATTTAGAAACATATCCTGATCCAAGTAATTAAAAGAATGATGAATTAGAGGTAAAACTCTGTACTTTATTAACAATACTCCTTATATGTTTATCAAACATTTAAATTTGACTCGAAATTCCAAGATCCTTCAGGATTAATGTGTAATACTTTACATGTAGCAGCATTAAATTTCCAAGTAATTGACCACTTACTTAAACCGTCCTAATTTTCCTGCAACTTACTTTGCTCATTATCTGATGAAACTATTTTAAATTTTCATAATGCCCTCTACAACATCAGAAAGGTCATTTATAAAAGTTAAAAATAGAACTGGTCCTAAAACACTACCCTGAGGTATGCCACTCACTACATCTGACCATGATGAAGTTGTATAATTTAAACGAACACATTTCTTACGTCCATACAAAAAATTTAAATTCAGTTTGAAATACTGCCCTTAATTCAAAGTTTTTCAAGTTTAAAAAGTAAACGCTGATGAGGCACAGTATTGATTGCCTTAGAAAAATGATGGTGAATAGAGTAGACGGGGAAACCACTATCAATTAATTCTGACCACTCATGTAATACCTCAAAACAGGTATAAATTTTCAGTAATAAAAACATAAACTTTGATATTTGCTGTCATGAAGCAAACATTCATGTAAATGACAATATTTTGCCCAATGACACAATGAGTGAAATATCATCTGGATTAAAGTTAATAGCTTCCAAAAAGTATGATTTTTGGAGACCATTATCTTTGTATTCAGTTAATAATATTAACTATGATAGGAAAATGTTGCCATTAATATCAATGTTTGTGCCTGACAGCCATTAAGATCATGATGATGAAATACAAAATATGATTTTTGATCACTGTAAATAGATACCAGATTTAAATGGGGATAGCATCCATTTTTGAGGATCTTTCCCAACCTGTGAAATATCACTTGATAAATGTGAATAGCGTTCAAAAAGTAGGATTTTTGGAGGCCATTAACATTGTATTCAGTTCTCATTTGAACTGGGAAATGTTGCCATTTATATGAATGTTTGCATCATGACAGCTATTGTGATACACAATTCAATTATTTACCACTGTGAATTGATACCTGAGTTTAAGTATAATAACCATTTTTGAGGATCTTCCCCAACCATTTTTAGCTCACCTGGCCCAAAGGGCCAAGTGAGCTTTTCACATCACTTGGCATCCGTCGTCCGTCGTTAGCTTTTTACAAAAATCTTCTCTGAAACCACTGGGCCAAATTTAACCAAACTTGGCCACAATCATCATTAGGGTATCTAGTTTAAAAAATGTGTCTGATGACCCCGCCAACCAACTAAGATGGCTGCCATGGCTAAAAATAGAACATAGGGGTAAAATGTAGATTTTGGCTTATATCTCTGAAACCAAAGCATTTAGAGTAAATCTGACATAGGATAAACTGATTATCAGGTCAAGATCGATCTGCCCTGAAATTTTCAGACAAATCTGACATCCTGTTGTTGGGTTGTTGCCCCTGAATTGGTAATTTTAAGGAAATTTTGCAGTTTTTGGTTATTATCTTGAATATTATTATAGATAGAGATAAACTGTAAACAGCAATAATGTTCAGCAAAGTAATATCTACAAATAAGTTGTCATGACCAAAATTGTCAGTTGACCCCTTTAGGAGTTATTGCCCTTAATAGTCAATTTTTAACAATTTTTTGTAAATTTTTGTAATCTTTTACAAAAATCTTCTTCTCTGAAACTACTGAGACAAATTAATTTAACCATACTTAGCCATAATCATTATTAGGGTATTTAGTTTAAAAAATTTGTCCAATGACCCCGCCTTCCAACCATCATGGCCGACATGGTTAAAAATAGAACATAGGGATAAAATGCAGTTTTTATACGCCCGTTTACGGGACGTATTATGGTATACCATTGTCCGTCCGTCCGTCCATCTGTCCGTCCGTCTGTCCGTCGTCAACATGCCGGACATTAACTCAAAAATGCTTTAACCAATTTGCATAAAACTTTGGTGAATTGTTTATATCTATTGACGTGAGCTCCCTTTCGTTTTTTATAAAATTTAGATTTTACATTTCTGAGTTATGGGGTTTTATTCATAAAAAAAGGGGGAATTTTCCAGTTTTTCGGACAAAATCTCATAAATGCTTTCAGCAATTCTTATGAAACTTTGGTGAATTGTTTGTATGTATTGATGTAAGCTCCCTTTCGAATTTTATAAATTTTACATCTTACATTTCTGAGTTATGGGGTTTTATTCATTAAAAAAAGGGGTGATTTTCCAGTTTTCAGCCAATAACTCAAAAATGCTGTCACCAATTCTCATGAAACTTTGGTGAATTGTTTATATCTATTGATGTAAGCTCCCTTTTTATTTTCATAAATTTCTAATATGACATTGAGAATTAATTGAACTTTATTTGTTTATAGTCTGACAACAGATTTACTAAGTATTGCACAACAGCAAGAAATCTTTAATTGAATATAAATTCAATTCATATAACCAATTTCAAGATCTTTGACTACATTTATTCAGAAACCTATAATATGTCAAACATTTAATTACAATCCAAATTCAGACCTGAATCAAGCTTGAATATTGTGTCCATTTTTGCCCAAACTGTTCAGGGTTGGACCTCTGCGGGCGTATCTAGCTGCGCTCAGCGAAGCAGTTTATTGGTTTATATCTCTGAAACTTAAGCATTTAGAGCAAATCTGACAGGTGGCAAAAATGTTCATCAGATTTAGATTTATCTGCCCTGAAATTTTCAGATGAATCCGACAACCCGTTGTTGGGTTGCTGCCCCTGAGTTAGTAATTTTACAAAAATTTTGCAGTTTTTTGTTATTATCTTAGATATCATTATAATATCTAATATCTAATACTATTAATTATGATTTTAACCTTATTTTACATGATTTCCAAAGCATCAGTAAATACAGGTGAGCGACACAGGCTCTTGAGAGCCTCTAGTTTACTTCAGCCACTTATGATCACAGTGATATCCTTTCCAAACTACACCTAGATGAATGCCTCATACAACTTGCCAATGTGTTATGCATTTATTGAGGCATCAAACACAAGTTTTCTTATTTTTTTCAGCAGTTTTGTGGTGTTCTTCAAAGAATTACTGGGGGCTTTGGTGGCCAAGTGGTTTAAGTTGTTTAACTACTGTATAACTCAACTGTTTACACTGAGGTTGTACTGTGATTTTGGGTCCCGCACATGGCAGGTGCGTTCGACTCCAATCTTAATTGACAAGGATTGTCAGTTTTCCTACAGTAGGTCATGGTTACCTCTAGGCACTCCAGCTTCCTCCACCAATAAAAACTGACCCCTTCAAAATAGCCAACATTGCTGAAAGTGGCATTAAACACCAATCAATCAGTTAAAGAATTACTTCATCCCTCATGTATCTGAGTAAAGATAACTTTCATTCGTGCAATTTCCCATTTCCGATGTCACAATGCTTTTGTTATTATGTCACAGTAAGAGTGACTTCATCATGTTCATGTACTCTGATTGACCTCTGACTAGAAATTTTTAAAATTCAAAATGTTAATGAAAATATGAAATTAAAAGATTAAGTTCATCATATGCAAACATTTTCATGGCCTTGCACCCTTGACAACACCTGGTAAAGAAATGTTCTAAATTGATGTTTTATAGGTCCTACTTCGTTATTTGTGAAATACACTGTAGATGGAGACAGTCAGCAATTCTATGCATGTTCTGCATTCAGAGATCGAAAAGAGTGTAATTTTTTTCAAAGGAAAGATGAAAAAGTTTCTGAGTCAAAAAGGACAGCAAGAGAAACCATAAAAACAGAAGCAGATCAGGCATACAAAAAGCTGAAGAAAAGGTATGACAAACAACTTGCAAGAGAAGCAAAATATCACATAAGCTACACTGTATGTTTAAAGTAAATCAAGAAAAAAAAATAACAAATGTGCCATTCAGGGGTCCTCCCAATATTTTCTAAAAAGTCTTGAATCTCCTATTCAATTATTGTTGAAAAGTAGCGAAGACAGTCATCAACAACATAGATAGATTTTGAAATAAAACGAAAAATAACATTGAATTCCCTGCATATGATATATGTTTCTAGAATAACTTCCATCAGGTACTGTAGATTCATTTATTTTCATGGATACCAAATTTTGTGGTGTGAGACAAATGTTTAATTTAAACAATGCCAGTACCAAAGGGCTATCTACTGGGAGAATGGAATCTCTTGGGACACAAAAGTCTGCCAGCAGTGGTACCAATCCAGTAATACATGGAATTAAAAAAACATATGCTACGCATATTTACACAAATTTTATAAAACATATGCTACACATATTTACACAAATTCAATAAAATACATGCTATACTTACTTGCACAAAGAGGTAGGGCCAATTACTCCAATATCTGTTTCACGCATTTGGTCAAAATTAGAAAATTTGTTACTTTGACTTGACTGTAGGTGTTGCTCTCCACCTATTGCAGTTAATTCAAAATTCTGACCAAATTGCAATTTTTTTTATCAAACCAAACTGTTCAACTGACCAGAAATTTTAACAAACTGCTGTAGAAACCCACAGTCTAGTCGTGAAAGTGCAAGGTGATAAAATAAAGCATGCTTACATTCCTGTTAGATTTTATTTCCACTTCATTGATATTAAGTAAATGATTATAAGAATTTCTATCCATACATGAATTGTAACTGTCATTCAAAAGGTGAAAGGTAGTAATTTTTGAATTGGTAAAAAAATGTCAAAATTTAAGTTTTGAATTAAATCTTCTAAAATGGTGTTTTTCTATGCATGCTACAAAGCTTTCTTAAAATGAATTGCTAAGGTACCTCATGAAATATACTTAAAGCTTAAATATGTTCTCTTGAAGTTGTAAGGGAGATATGATCAATATTTCAAAAAATCAATGATTTTAGATTATCTCCCTTGGAAACTTATTATTAACGTTTTGTAATTTCACATATATATTACTGAATATAACACGGCTTAATTCAAACTGATGTTTTATTCTTATGAATTTAGAAGATTTAAAAAAAAATTGTATGAAAGCTTAGTTTGGACATTTTCATAGCAATTTAAAAATTACTACATATCACCTTTCAAATGACAATTACAATAAAAGTATGTATAGAAATAAACATTTTCATAAAATCAACACCCCCAAGGGTGACTTGGGAATAGAAGTATGGTCACCATTGGTCTTCCTCCAACCGGCAGTAAAACCCTTGCTAAAGTAGGGCGTCCGTTTGGCTGTGCAGGATGTACAAATTTGCAGCCATGTCCGGTCAGAATGGGGACGTTAAATCCAATGCCTCGTGTAAAGAGAGTGCCACGCTCTTTGCACGTTAAGAACCCTTGCAACAACTCTTTGAGGGGTCTGTAGGTGACCTGTTGCAAGGTTAAATTTCTGACCCTATCCAATATACCCTCATTTCCCGTGGCAGTCTAAATTTCTCCGACCTTAATCCCGGACGCCTCTATTACAGAACCTACCTATTGTATTTATTGTTAGTTTGTTCTCGTCCTGAATATGCATGAAATATTTGCCACTGGACGTTAAGCAACCAACAATCAATCAATCATTCATAAAATCAATGAAGTGGAAATAAAATCTAACAGGATTGTAAGCATGCTTTATTATATCACCTTTCACTTTTACGACTTGACTGGTTTTCTAAAGCAGTTTGTTAAAATGTCTAACCAGTTGAACAGTTTGCTTTGATAAAACAAATTGCAACTTGCAGAGAGAAACACTTGCAGTCAAGTCACAGTAATTTGAATATTAAAAGAGTCTATATGATATACAGATGTTCCATAAAATCAAGATATTGTTCAGCTTTTCAAATAGCTGTTGTTGAAGACACCTGTTTTTTGTGAATTTTACAAAGAAGGACATCTTTTATCACATTTACTTCCAATATTGTCTTAGTTCTGTTAAGAATACTTTTGATAACTTTTTGGATTATTAATCCAAATTTGTAAATATGTATAAAAAGCCATACTGTATACACATATGAAACTAAAACTGCTATAAGTTTTTGTAAAGGTATAAGGACTTTTAGAAATGGCTCTGGTTTGGAGAAATTGGTCCTAACACTTTAATGCTTCTGATGATGCATTGATTGAAACAACACCTTCTAATGGTACAAGCTGGTAGAGTAATCAGGATGGATACCCGGAAGTATGCTGCAGTTGTCTTAAAACCTCGCGGAAATAATGATACACAAAGACAACAACATCCTAGATTACTGCAAGGAAATTCTTTATTCTGGTCTACATGTTTCGCCACTTACATTGGCATCTTCAGGACAATTTAATGATAGGAAAAAAAATACTGAAGTACATAAAATGCAGTGCATATGCAGTTACAAAGGTTAACAAGACGCTACGTCACAATAATGTGAAAGTGAAGGTTAAAGTTAATAATGAATTGTCAGTATCTTTTCCAAAATGGACAACACCTCACACTTTAATGCTTCTGTTGAAATTAAAAAAACACATTTTGGCATTTTCAGGTTATATGTATCATAACCAGCAACACAACATATTTTTACTTGCATAGAAACAATTTGAGATCATCGAAAGCTTCATTATATGAATGAAAAGTAAATTGTCTCTAAAACAAATTTCAGATGTCACAAGCTGAGAAAGTTGAAAGCTATAGCCAGAGTATTTTGTGTTACCTGTGGTCAGTTTTTATTACCCAAGGAGAAAGATGATCATAGTCAACATGAAACTAAATCATCTGTTGATGATGACACAATAAGGAGTCCATCAAGACTGTTTAGACCATTAGACAATAATAAAACTTATGCTGTAAGTTTAGTTTTATTGTTTTCAAGAAAAAGGCCGAAAAATAATGACAGTGATGAAGGAAATTTTTTAGATAACCAAGACTTTTGAGATCAGAGCTACTAGGCATATTTTGGTTGATGGTTACATCTGCTTCAACAATTCTTTGAAATTTGTCATCACTTTAATGTGAATTTCAGTCTAGGAAATGCTTCTGATTTCATAGAAAAAAAACTATTGGAAAGGTTAGGAATAAGAATCTTACAGATTATTTCATTCACAATCTTGCTCATCATTTCATGTTCATTTTTTCAAAACATTGTGTCTTTCAGCAATACCTGTTTTCAGAATCCACAATACAGTTTACAATAAATGTTCTCAAGAAGTTGAAAATATCTAAAGTACTATGTGTTGGAGCACCCAGGTAAAGTTTAAGAATATATACCGTCCCTATTTGTCCTTTGAGGGCCGTGAATATCTTCTACATGGCAAATATCCATCAGTATAGCTAAGTTGTATATTTTAGCTTCATGATATAAAAAGTTCATTTTATAAGTTTAATGTAGTGAACTTGTCTTTTTGCACTCATTTCTGTTACCAATATGTATCTTTTGCCCCAATTTTTAAAATTTTTAACCTAGTTGTGATAATGTCTAACTTGGCTCATAGTAATAAGTATGAATAATGGTTTCTGGATGTCTTGGTGTCCAGATGTCAACATTTCAGTTTCCAGACAAAATTTTTTGATCCATAAATAATATCTTTGCCAAATTAGCTTGCCCCATGGAGTAAAGGCAAAAGCCTTGTGATTCTGTGGTTAAATAGTCTGTTTTGCTTTTCTTAAATAATATGCAGTAAAGCTGGTAGTGTCAACTGTTCAACCAGTGTTTATTTCATTTTATCTAATTTTTAATGTCCATATGCATATATTTGCCTATTCAAAATGAGCGACGTTAAATATGTCATATCATATCATGTCTGGTTCTGGATATGGCTGTATCAAGTTCAGCTTATTCAAAACCAGGACTGAAATCCATATTATGTGCAGTTCAAGATGTTACAAGATGTAGGTATTCCATGTAGAATGGTTTGAATTTCAATTCATTTGGATATGAACTCTTTAAATTTCACAATTCAGTACAACAAAGAACAATCATATAGAGGTGAACACAAGCTGAAATCTTTTGGCTATAATGCAACATGCTCATGGAAAATTTGTATTCAGTCAAAATTTTAGTTTCAACTTTAATATAAATAAGAAGATGTGATATGAGTGCCAATGAGACAACTCTCCATCCAAGTCACAATGTATAAAAAGTTAACAATTATAGGTCAAAGTACAGCCTTCAACACGGAGCCTTGGCTCACACCGAACAGCAAGCTATATAGGGCCTCAAAATGACTAGTATAAAACAATTCTAACAGGAAAACCAACGGTCTAATCTATATAAAAAACGAGAAACACCTATGAACCACAACAACAAATGACAACCACTCAACAACAGGCTCCTGACTTAGGACAGCTGCATAAAAATGCAACGGGTTTAAATGTTTTAACAGGCGCCAACCTTCACCCTAACCTGAGACGGTAGTGTAACATTACAACATAAAAAGACACACTATAAAATATCAATTGAAATGGCTTAACTCGATCAAAAAGATCAATGCATTTGTTATGACGAATACATAGTTTACATTGGAAATGTATGATAATTTTTTTTTGACGCACATTTTGCATATGAACCCATATCATCCCTCAACCTCATATCAGACCAAGGGCTAATTCATCAAGCTGACATGAAAATCTGTTGATGATATTTGGACTTGTGTGGGAAACAATTTGTATTAATCATAATCAAAATCTGTTACATTTCTATGATATAATTTACCTTTTCTGTATGAATTCATAAAGACTGAAGGTATAAGTTATATAAAATCAGTCAGCATTCTGTATTCATATGGTCAAAAGTGCTTAAATTTTTTTTTCATTTTTCATTGTAAAACATGTTCTTTTTTTAAAATATATAAAATAATTAAAAATCCAACACGTATCCTTGATTTTAAGGAGAGGCTAAAATATTTTGAAATGGCAAAATATTAATAAAGTTGATGTGAAAAAGGAAAAGTTCATTTATTATTCCAATATGATTACAGAATACATGAAGCAATACAGAGTGACAGGATCAAACACAGCAAACTGGAATCTTTGTTGTTAGACTTGGATTACAGATATGTAAGTAATTTCTGTTTTCACAGAATTTTGCCAGTAAATGTGTTAATTCTTGTATAATGAACATAATTAATCACAGAAATTTGAATATCCCTTTTTCTTGCAGTTCAGCTATGTAATCATAAAATAGTTCATAATTTCAAATGTTAAAATCTTTATTTGTAATTTAATTATTATTATGGTATATTCTGGACTTTCATTCTCCAATACTAGATACGTTATTCATAACATATAGCTACACATTAATGTCATATGAATATTTCCAGCTTTGTACTAGACTGACACATGCCAATTTTGTTCCCGCCTGTAGCAAAGTGGTAATTGTAAGTCATTAATATTTGGTATACAGTTGTATTATCATTAGCATCTCATTTTCAGGGTTTGTATGTTAAAGTGTTGCCCTTAAAATATCAATGTTTGCATTACATTATCAAAATTTCAAAAATTTCATATGGACATGATATTTCTTTGTCAACAGTTTATTTTCTGCTATCTTACATTTTAAAGTAGCAGTCTGCAGATATACATATCATTCCACCCATACTTATTGTTCTTTTCCCAGTTAATCAACTCTTAATGGCAGTGTCTTTATATGAAAAGCTGGAGAAACAAATTTTTAAAGTCTTTGGTAGAGTCCAGAGAGGGATTGAAATCATTACCACCCTTAACCTCAATTAAGGCTAGCATGCAATCATGACAAAGGTGGTTGCATAAGGTATACATAAACCCTTCAATTGTTTGATCTCTTGTATATTAGTAAATATCTGTATTGTTGAATTTAATTGCATTCTGTGTTTTGTCATTTGAATTGCCATGTGTATTATTATAGTCATATGCTCTATTTCAGCAACAGATCTATCCTCCAAAGAAGTTTTGCCGATATAACATGTTTAACCATTATTTCTTCAATGATAGTACAAGTGAGGCAGTATTTTCCAACTTCCTCACAGAATCAGATGACAAACATATTGCCTTAGTAACAGATCCACCATTTGGAGGTCTTGTAGAGGTTTTAGCTTCAACATTTAAAAAAATTACAGAAACATGGAAAAAGCAACGAGACACAAGTAAATAAATATGTTCATTGAATCATAGTCTAAATAATGTATAAAAATTCAGTGTTAATAAGATAAACTAACCTCTTAATCGAATATTTTATGATAAATAGTAATAGGTTGCTAACTTGTAACTTGTAAAACGAAATTCTCCTTTGATTGAAAGGCAGTTTAAGATACCAACATTTCTATTAACAAAGTAGTGGCTTTGTTTCAAATTGCACTGTCAGCACCAGAATTTACTCAAAGAGGTTTCTAAGTCTGAATAAAACTGAGTTGTTAGATATGTATCAAGGAGGCAGCAATCCAACTATTGAGTACAATGAGGGGATGATAACCATTTGTAATTGCTTGTTTGATGACCTTCAGTAACATCACATCCTTGACATGCATCTGATTGCACAAAATATGTCAAATATTTATACCTGATTGATTAATCAATTAACGGAAACTGAATGCTTTTAATGCAACCTAAAGCAATTATGTCTATATCAGTGAAAGTTTGTAAGGAACAATGAATATGTTAAAGGTATTGATACATTATCTGTGTTGTAAAACTTTCGGAAGAAAAATGCTTTAGAAAGTGGCATTATTTTGTATGTAATTGTGACACAACGCTCTTAAAAAATGATGTTGTAAAGTATAACAAATGTTGATTTATACTTTGTAGTAGAAGACAAAGAATTACCAGTTCTTTGGTTCTTCCCATACTTCATGGAAAAGAGGATTGTAGATTGTTTACCACAGTATAGTATGTTAGATTACAAGGTGTGTACACGTTTTTGTTTTGCTTATTATAAATTTTGCTAAGATAAGACCTAGGAATTCTGCATTGGTGGCTTCATTAAAAGCTGTACAGATCTTTTCGGAAAAAGAAAAGGTAGACAATTCATGTTTTGCAACATTTTTCTATGTTAAACTTCATCAGGAATGCTCAATGTAAAAAGTTTCTAGAAAAATATTGGAAAATTATTTTATAGTTTCATCCATACACAACTTAAAATATGTGTACATTGAACAACATATGTATAGGCCAATAATTATGATTTGCATTGAAATCCAAAAGTTAATGAACACATGGAGAGCTATATAAACACAATATTTAAGAGGAATAAGAGAAAACATCCAAGATCAACATTGGATCCAGTTTGAATTTTTTTTATTTCAAGAGCAAACATTTTCTGAAATTTTCTTACTAACAATCTATGCAGAAATCACTTTCACATGAAATTATTTAACATTTTAAAAACCTTTGTATATATAAACACTCATTTTGTTTCAGGTTGACTATGACAACCATGCTTTATTCAGAGGAGATGTAAAGAAATACGGAAGTCCTGTCAGAATATTTACAAATATACCTCCATCACAGATAGAACTACCCTCTTCAGAAGGTTATTGGTAAATATTATTTAAAATTCAATTAACAAATGGTTGTTGCCTTTCATGGACTGATATCTACTTCTCTAAATTATATATTTCAGTAATTAACGACCTGTCATTTTCAATATTGTGTTTGTCATTCTCATAAAGTACTTTTGTTTGTGGGTATGGAATTTTCATGACCTCTAATAATTCAATGGTTAGTGAGCTCTTTCATAAGTCATTCCATATAGGGTCTACGATAAGTTAACATGAACTATGTAGCTTATTCAATGTTAATTTTTTTTGGGTTTGAGAAAATTCTTCGATTATTAAAGGGAAACTCTGCAAAAAAATGAAAAATTCATATTCTGTTCATTATGTATAAAAAAGCACAAATTCATAGATATTAAAGTTTTATTCTGTAAGTTAAGAGATCACCATCGATTTTAAATTTAGAGTATCAATTCTCCACATGCGGCCATTTTGACATCCTCCCCGAATATTGACCACGATATATCTATAAACCACAAAGGACCAAAACAAGCAGTAACCTAACGTAGCCGTAATAGAGTGTCGATATCTTGTCAAGCGTACGGTTGTTTTATCCTACAAGGAAAGCCAGAGACATATAATACATGTCTCTGGGAAAGCATAAACAGTTTCCCGGGTCACAAAAAAGATTATGATAGACATAGTTGTGCAACCTTTCCTAACTAACTTGATACGGAAAATGTAATTTTATATATATTATTTTTTAAATAACTAGTACTAATAGTATGGTCTGTCGTTTTGGAACTGTTTTGTTTACGAAGTATTTAAAACAAGAAATTGAAATTAGTTAAAAAGTCAAAGTTCAAAGTCATAAATAAGTGTTCCGTGTAAAATTGTTTTTGAAAATCTAGTTTGTTCATAATTGTTTTATGTAATAAACTTTTTAAAATAAATTCGGACCTTCACTTATCTGATCACCAGAATGGCTAAATGAATTGTTCCCAGAGGTATTGTGAGGTGACACGTACAGGTATTCAAGCGATTTCCTGTCGGGCTTTAAAACTGTTATTACACAATTACATAAAACAAGTTCGTGCATCACTTTTTTTCTGGGGGTATTGATCAGTGTACACGGCCGATAACATGTAACTTCCATTTTGAATCTATCAGGTGTAATATACAACTTTGTCTAGCGTATCCGATAGTGATATACTAGTCATTGCTAAACTCATACGCTTGTTTATAAATAACATTTTTGGTGTAAAGAATGATATTTATGAAAATTCAAATAATTAAAAAAAAAAAAAAAAGATTTGATGAAATAAAAATCTATTAACACATTTTCCAAGGGTAAATTGGGGAAAATGTAAGTATATACTCGTTGTCAATAATTATGGACATTTTGAAACATACAAATATTGATTTAACAAAATGTGCGGCACTTGTCGATCATTGGTTTACACGCCTAGATGGAAGGTTTATAGGGAACTATGGATAGTCGCAATATAGAACTGATATCATACAAGTATATTGAATATACGAGAGAAACATCCAGAACCAATCTGATTTAAATACAGGTCGATATCTAACTTGCTTTGGTTCATCGAAGCTATAGACATAGTAAGATCACAGATTTATATTTCAATAAGATTATTTTGAACAGTTTAAGAAATTCGTCATCATCACATTTTCCTGGTCCGACATGCATGTTATATATATATGCCACTGGACGTGCACTAATGATCCCCAAAAGCCTATTTGAAGAAATAAAGAAACTTCACTCAGGATAGACTGATGGTAGTTGTATTAACGTCTGGTCAGCTAGAGGGTTGATTAATTTATTTAGTTAGCTTGTAGGGGATTTAACCACTCTTAATATTGCACTTATGCATTAGATATTAAATGACAGTACCGGTAATATAAGAGAAAATATAAATACGAAAAGTCGCATATCTGATAGAAAAGGACTCACCATGAACTATAGGATTGTACGTACGATTGTCATTCTTAATCGCATAACGGACAGTCATTTAAATGCATGCATGTACGCTGTGATAAAAAGGGGTGTCGCAGTTGCAAAGTATTCATCATAAATCTATTTCAAGTTTATTATTTCCTTTTATTTTTATAAGTTAACGCAGAGACATGTATACACTAGATCTCTATTTAACGACAAGCAACTATATAAATATCTGAATCTGATGTGACTTACCGTTCATCTCTTTCTTTTTTCTCATTTTTTTTTAATTTTTGCAGGAATATACACATTGTAAGATATACTGTTCCTCGATTGGGGGGGGGGGGGGTCTGAGGTCATGTCTATCTATCTGTGATTAACCTTGACATTTCCGGGTATAACAGAGCTACTTGTATATTACCTGAATGTGGTTAGGTGACGTCCCATGAGGTCTTACGTATACATGTTCATATTTATAATGGTTTCTGATATAACAATTAGGTTTTATAACATTCACACTTCTGCATGTTCTGTATACCAAATTCGTATCTTTTTTTCAGACCGAATGAGGATGTGAATATTTTCCAGGATCAAATTAATTTCGGGATTTTTTTTATTTCTTTGTATTAAATCTCAGAAATTTACAGAATATACTGCTTGTCCGCTTTAGGAGTTTTCTTGTCAGATTAAACAGACGTATATATATGTCTCTGGTTTAGAGTGGGTTTATGAATGAATGATAAGTCTTACAAAGGTACAAGATATCAAGCACATTGAAAATTGATTTCGCCGTTCTTTCTACATTTAAAAAAGGAAAGTTGACGTTAGATTGATTCTGTTAATTTTTTTAAACATCGTTGGTCAAATAGCTTAAGAATTATATAAATACGTTGTGAGATTTATAATATTTCAATAAGGGCATTCCTGATTAGGTAAATGAAGATCGCTTTGGACGACAAAACTATATTTTCGTAACTGATAATTTTCTCTGCACATTTAAATATTCAAGGTTACCGATGATAATTTAAAATAGTACTGTTTTGATTTATACGCTCGTTTTCGTGGGCCATTTATAATATTTATATAATTATTTTATTAAAAGTGATTCAGAATTTCGATGTTACAACAAAATACTCACCTATTTATTTAAAAACTGAGCAAATGCAAAATGTTAAAAATATATATATATAACGGCGATTAAGGTATTTTGCCACCATATTCCTCCCTTAATAATTAAAAAAAATCTGTCTCATACCTGCAACGGTGAACCCTTGAGGACAAACACCACTCTAGTGAAGATCAAAGGATTAAAATTACATAATGCTAATCTTTTAATTACCGTGAATTTAACCACGCCTTTACCAGGTGGTGTTAGCATAATACACATGCATTGTATTTACACAGTACTAGACTGAAGCCAGGATTTGTATAGTAAGACAAATCCTCGACTGAAGTAATAGGGGAGAATACAAACGTGAATTTCTATTATACTATCAGTTATATATGTTGTTCAACATATCTGTCGAAAAAAAAGTCATAAAAAAATTCGATTGTATGATTTGCTTTTATTACTATAATTATATCAAAATCCTTAAAATATAAATCGTAAATTTTAATTTAAAAAAATGCACGGCTGATCACTTTTCTTTCTGAATTGTTAGTTGGTTAATAGCTACACCAAAAGTCGTTGATGCGCTTTAAATCGCGTTATTAGATGATTAACGAACAAGACTTTAAATGAGATTAATCCACTCCCGGCATGCAAAAAGACTTAAACTACGTCACATAAGTCAGGAAGTTTGAATAAATAGAATTAATAATTCCCAATTTTCTTCTTTATTAGTTTTCATATCCAGATAAAACTTGGTGAATATGTTTTTAATGGTATTATGAACATAATAAGATGATAAGTAAAAAATCGCGAATTTTCCCTTTAATACTTTCACAAAATTCTATATATGTGATCAATTATACCCTATCAAATAATTCATGGCAGCCGTAGATTTGTTTTCATTTTACATGGGTTGGGCATTTATATTCGATTATTTTACCCTGAGCATTAGCGAGGGGTAAAATACGAATATAAATGACCAACCCATGGTTAAATGAAAACAAATCTACGGCTGCCATGAATTATTTCGATTCTAATAGGACAAATTCGGTAATTTTGTTAACCGTGAAAGCCCTATACATAGGATATTGTTTTGGCTGTTCCGTTTTACCCAATTTTGATAATATCATATAATTCAATGATTATTTTTTTTAATCGCATTTTTCACTTATATATTTTCTTCCAATGTAATTTTATTCGTTCTGAGGCGTACAAGAAGCTTTAAAACGCCCGGTATTTACATTTGATTTTTTGTTTACGAAAACATACCTGTGACGTCACCTTGTTTCGTTGCCATGCCAAGACAATAACATCATTTCGCGGAATTTTCGTTTTATGAAATTTTACCATGAAAAATAAATTGAAATGGACTGATTTGTTTATTTTACTGTAGAATAGAGATAGATATATTGTATCTGAATCTTGGCCTACGTAAACTTGGGGTTTTGATGTAGAAAATTGAGAATATCTGGTAGTATAAATAAGTTGGTCGTAACGCGGAACAGCCGTTTTTGTGTATTACTGGGTTTGCGCTAAAGGTAGATATATTGTGATTATACTGGTTGACAATAATAGGACGTCATATTAGAATTAATTGGTTATACTGAATGTTCGGTTATTATTTTCTTTAAAATTTTAGTAAGGTACTATTTTATAAGCTCACCTGGCCCAAAGGGCCAAGTGAGCTTTTCTCATCACTTGGCGTCCGGCGTCCGTCGTCGTCGTCCGTCGTCGTTAGCTTTTTACAAAAATCTTCTATTCTGAAACCACTGGGCCAAATTTAACCAAACTTGGCCACAATCATCATTAGGGTATCTAGTTTAAAAAAATGTGTCCGATGACCACGCCAACCAACCAAGATGGCCGCCATGGCTAAAAATAGAACATAGGGGTAAAATGTAGATTTTGGCTTATATCTCTGAAACCAAAGCATTTAGAGTAAATCTGACATAGGGTAAAACTGATTATCAGGTCAAGATCTATCTGCCCTGAAATTTTCAGACAAGTCTGACAACCTGTTGTTGGGTTGCTGCCCCTGAATTGGTAAATTTAAAGAAATTTTGCAGTTTTTGGTTATTCTCTTGAATATTATTATACCCCACGCAACGAGTTGCGGAGGGTATAATGTTTTTGACCCGTCCGTCCGTCCGTCCGTCTGTCTGTCAGTCCGTCAGTCCGTCAGTCCTGTTTCTTGTCATCGCAACTCCTCTCAAACCACACAACAGAATTTCACGAAACCTTTTTAGATAATAAGGACATACTATAAAGTTGTGCATATTAACAGGAAATTGCGATTCAATTTTTTTTTGTAGGAGTTACGCCCCTTTGAACTTATTTACTTTAATGTACTACTGCAACAGTTTGTCATCGCAACTCCTCTGATACCACACAACAGAATTTCATGAAACCTTTTTAGATAATAAGGACATACTATGTAGATGTGCATATCGACAGGAAATTATGGTTCAATTTTTTTTCTAGGAGTTACGCCCCTTTGAGCTTATTTGCTTCAATGGACTACTGCAACAGTTTGTCATCGCAACTCCTCTGATACTATATAGATGTGCATATTGACAGGAAATTATGATTCAATTTTTTTTTCTTATACAATTTTTTCTTACACACATTTTATTTCTCCAATGACAATGTGGGGACGTGGGGTATGTGAGCGCGCTCACTAAGGTTCTTTAATTATAGATAGAGATAAACTGTAAACAGCAATAATGTTCAGCAAAGTAAGATCTACAAATAAGTTGTCATGACCAAAATTGTCGGTTGACCCCTTTAGCAGTTATTGCCCTTAATAGTCAATTTTTAACAATTTTTTGTAAATTTTTGTAAACTTTTACAAAAATCTTCTTCTCTGAAACTACTGAGACAAATTTAACCATACTTGGCCATAATCATTATGAGGGTATCTAGTTTAAAAAATTTGTCCGATGACCCCGCCTTCCAACCATCATGGCCGACTTGGTTAAAAATAGAAGATAGGGGTAAAATGCAGTTTTTGGTTTATATCTCTGAAACTAAAGCATTTATAGCAAATCTGACAGGTGGCAAAAATGTTCATCAGATTTAGATTTATCTGGCCTGAAATTTTCAGACGAATCCGACATTCCGTTGTTGGGTTGCTGCCCCTGAGTTAGTAATTTTACAAAAAATTTGCAGTTTTTTGTTATTATCTTAGATATCATTATAATAATATATATCTAATACTATTAATTATGATTTTAACCTTATTTTACATGATTTCCAAAGCATCAGTAAATACAGGTGAGCGACACAGGCTCTTGAGAGCCTCTTGTTAAAAGTAATATACTGTGATGTCATGTACCAAATGACCATCCATATTTAGTAGAGATCACAAATGATCAAGCATCTCTGTGAAGAGTAATAGAATATAAACCATGGAGGAGAGTAGAATGTTTCTCTCATATTAACCAATCAAAATCTAGCATCTTAACATGAAGTATAATAAATGATTTTGATTCACAGAAATTCTCTTAAATAACAAAAAGGTGGTGGCATTTGTGTTTTACAGACACATCTTGTTTAAATTTCACTTTGAAGACTACTGTAATTAGTAATAATTTATTGATGATATTGTTAAGGTTGATAGGTATTCCATTTGAGATATGAATGATACTTGTAGGAAGTGAACACCCAAAAATCATGCTGTAAACTGTTTTATTTTGTTTTAGGTATTGTAGTGAGTGTAAAAGATACTCTGGACCAGAAAATGTCCATTGTCAGATGTGTGATTCTTGTACATCTAAGGTAAATATGAATAGTTCTGCAAAATGTGTCAGAGATTATCTGATCAAACTTGTAAAATTTTCAGAGACCTTTAGGAACTTTTCCTTTGCTCCAAAATCTGTACAATTTAAAATATTTTCTGTAACAGAATTTTGATAGTAAATGGTTGAAAATCAATAGAGTTTATACCCATATTTATCATTAGAACATGGATTTTCATTTTTTCTTCATTAGCAGATTATGTTTATATTTTCAATAGGATGGTAGGACATACAGACATTGTTTTAAGTGTGACAGATGTATAAAGCCGTCTAAAGTTCACTGTGAAAAATGTGGAATATGTCAACTTAAAGATCATAAATGTGGACAGATAATAGGCAGAGGTAAAATTTAACAAGCAAATAAAATCAGTTCTTTTTCTGTGTTAAAGATTTGTTTCTTGATAGCTCATATGGGATGAATTTCAAATGTGAGCTATTGGCATCACTTGGATTATGTTGCCCATATGTCAACCATTTGTTAATAATTTAACATTTAAACCCTGCTGCTCTGAAAGCAATGGGTCAGCTTGGACCAAAACTGACCTTAATCATCCTATTTGGGGGATTCCTTGCCAACCAACTGACATGACCACTGCAACTCATAAAAGAATATAAGGGTAAAATTTTTAAACCATAACATTACTCTAGAAAAAGGCTATGGACGAGTGAAAATCCTGTTCAGTGGATGGCAATATTGACGAGTTCCACTGTAAGATTACTCTAATCAAAGCATCGTTGATGTTGTGATCCAGCTATATTCATAGCTAGTCTGATATTCTTTCTGACCATACTTTTTTCAATATTTTTTTCTCTTTTCATTTCTAATCTTACTGTTAAATTTCTATGTTATTGCACACAGGTAGTGAATTTCGCAGTATTGATGCAAATAATGATTAAATATTGATATTTCAATTTTAGACTCTCTCAGATTTTTTTTTTTTTTTTTATAAATATTTGAAATTTAATGGTATTGACATGAATGGAAAGGGAAATCGTCAAACAAGTAATATATATTTTTATATGTCATTAATAATAACTGGCTTAATAATTTTCAGAAAGAGGCCTTGGAAATGCACTTTCTCAACAACAAATATGAAAAAAATAACAAATTTTTATCTAAATTGGTGTTCATTCTTCATTAAGAAAAAATACATTTCCTGTATTCAAATTTAAATGTACAAATACCTAATGCTGAGATATTTCCAATGACTGTTAAATAGCAATATAATGGGATATAAATGTAGAACAAACAAATAAATTTTATTGCAGAAAATGCTCAGGTAAGAGTTATGCAATTTTGTTCATTGTTTCAACCAAATTTCTGATAATTGTTACTAATTAATTAGATCTTGATTACTGACTAATGTCTGATGATAATGACATTGATTTTACAAGTGAAATAAAATTTGCTTGCATTTTTTATATATATTTTTACATTTTTTTGTCTTTTCTTTGAAAAAAACCACATCTGATTAATCATTCAGCTAGATAGCAAAATTAACAGCATATTTTAATGTAGTGTAGATCAACATAAATAATACATTTGTAGGTTTACTATTGAGGTCAAGAATGTGTGTTTTCAGTTAGGTGTGTAATAAATTGTGCCTATTTAATTTTGTAACAGGTCATGAGATATTAAATGTGGTGAATTAAGACTGTGGTTGTTTCCAATTAATACTTACACCTTTGACTGTAATTATTTAAAAAAAAAGTCATGACAGTTTATAATCATACTGACTCTTACTTGCCTATGTAAAGAATTGGAGTAATGCCATTTCATAAAAGTGTGGGAATCAACTTAGATATATTAACACACATGTTGACCTAAATTTCATAGAACAAAAACTTACACAAGCATAAGATAATAATATGATACTTTCAAAATTGTTATCAACTGATTCAATTAATGTAAAACTACTTTTTCAAATTAATTCATAAATAGTAAATCATTATAAATTTTGATTTACAAAGGAACTATATGCAAGTGTATATCTAAAATAAAAGGGTTGTTCGACCAATCTTTTCTGAATTTAAGGGCAACTAACATGTCAAAAGTTGGCAGTCGATGATTAAAATGGTGTAGAAAGTTTCTGCAAGTCATAAAAACATATAATTAGTTTCATGACATGTCTTCAACTTAGTATTCTGCACCATCTCCAAAAACAGAGTGATCGCATAGATCCAGCATGGCTGAATCAAAAACCTATTTTCCAGTAAAAATCTATTTCAGCATACAAATCATATGTTCCCGTAAAAATCTATTTCAGCATACAAATCATATGTTCCCGTAAAAATCTATTTCAGCATACAAATCATATGTTCCCGTAAAAATCTATTTCAGCATACAAATCATATGTTCCAGTAAAAATCTATTTCAGCATACAAATCATATGTTCCAGTAAAAATCTATTTCAGCATACAAATCATATGTTCCAGTAAAAATCTATTTCAGCATACAAATCATATGTTCCAGTAAAAATCTGTTTCAGCTTACAAATCATATGTTCCAGTAAAAATCTGTTTCAGCATACAAATCATATGTTCCAGTAAAAATCTATTTCAGCATCCAAATCAGAAATCAAAGTCAACAATCTAGGAAAAAGCAACTTTCTTTCTTAATTATTGATTCTCTCACAAGTTTGTACTTAATCTGTGTACTTTGAGGTGGTAATAATATATAGTAAAAATTAAGATTTTGATTATATTGTTTTTTAAAGGGTGTCACATTTGTGGAAATCTCAGTCACAAAAGAAAAGACTGTCCTAACAAAGGGAAACCAATTAAAAGGTAATTATTACTTACAGTCTAATCTGATCGATTGAAATTATACAAAAATGTTATTAGTTTTTAAGAATGTTTTTTCTTCTGAAAATTGGCAAAAAGGTTGCATACAAAAACAACAAAAAAAACTTTGAAACTCCAGGAAATAGTGTTTCTAAAATCAGTGCTTTCTGTTGCTCTGTTTTATCTGAACTGTTGCTTGATGGTATAAATAAAGAACTGAAAAGATCACAAATAAAAAATTTGCAAGATCAAAACATAAGTCTAGCATTAACCTGAGAGATAACTGCAATATACTTTAATGAAGGAATATATGTGGGATTTTTCAATGAACTGCAGAAAAGACAGTTGAAGTATACCTGTATGTCGATCATTCATATCTACATATAACTAAAGTTCTTTCAATATATGGAAAATCTGAGTCGGACATCAAAGAAGTGCATCATTGGTAAAAACAAAATAGAATTCTTTGCATTCAAATAACCCCAGTTGAAATATTAAAATAATATTCATTCCTTATGTTGGACAATTATCTGTAATACAAGAACTGGCACTACATGCAAACCATTAACAAACAGGCATCATAATCATTAACTTAGAAGGGAAGAAATACAAAATAAAACAAATATTCCAGTAGTATGTTTATGTGTTTATGTTGCCATGACTACCTATAATATAAATGATATAATTTTTTTTTTCCAGAAAGAAGTTCAAGCAAGATGGCAGGCCTATTAAAAAGAAGAAATTTTCTAAATAAATACTTATGTTTTAGAAGTCTGTTTTCTAATCTAATGGCTGTTGAGTTTTATACTAGTCAGAGATGACTCTGATGTCTGACAGCCTTCGGACTTGCTGGGGCTGTAGTATGTCAAAGACTTTGGCAGAATACACATACACTATTCTTTACTAGTTCATTTTTTCATTTTTATCCATTTTTTAAAATAAATACCTTTTATTAATCGATTATCCCATTGGAGCATAAACAAAAGCTTTTATTATAAATTTCACCTTTCATTGACAATTGATTCCTATAATATATTGGGATCTCGTTTTATTTTCGATAAAAATTGTGATCATTGGAGCTAAGTTATGCAAATAGGTACCATTGCACATTATGTCTGGTCTGTATCAAATTCATTACTACAAAGGCAATCTAGTTGTATTACAAATACACACTTAAAACCAGTTTCATCTTGCCTATCCATTTGACAATTAGCCAGTTGTAGCTATTTCTATTCATAGTCATCTCTAAATTTTACAAATTAGCTCACCTATTTGGCCATGCCATCACTTTCCTTTGAAACCACAAGGTGGAAGCAAACTTGGCCTGTAACTATCTGAGAAGGTTTACCTTAAAGATTTTGCCACAAACTAACCCAACAAAAAAAGATAGATCATAAAAATATTCATTTATGATGATTAGAAAATACTATAAGGGACAAATTGTTGTCAAACTTTTATCGGTTTAAAGAACTGATTGATGATTTCAACTGCCACAATAAATAAAAGAAAATCAGACAAAACAATCCAAAATCATTGCAAAGAATTACAGAGGCAACATTGGTGCATTAGTTGATTTGCAATCTTTATGGAATTGCAGAAGAAATAGATTTTGGAGTAGATTACAAATTTTTTGTTATTTTGGTGATGGAGACTCTAAAGCTGCTGACAATTTGTGTCAAATGATGCAAGGATAACACAAATATAGGTTTATTAGTTGCTGCTGTTACCTTGCCATTGACCACGTGACCTGAAAACTAAGATCTTTTTTCTGCAAAGGCAAATTACCCACCTTAAATTGTCAAAAATCTGATTTTTGACTCAAAAGATATCTACTAACAAAACTTCTCAAAATTCAAAATGACGTACTTCAACCTTGACCTTTAAACTAAATATTGTTAGAGGTCCTATTCTTTCAAAGAGACATTTTCAAGATATAAAATTTTATGAAGGTTTGACATGATTCAAAAACTACTTTGGTAACCAGACTTTTGTCAAACTATCTGAACAGCAATTACTGCTATAAGCTTGACCTTTACCAAAGCAATGTCATTGTGACCTAAACATTAATAGGAGTCTTATTCTTCATCTCTGGGGCATTATCAAACCAAGTCTATTATAAAAACTTGACATATTGTTCAAAAGATAACATCTGGAAACAAAAAAAATGTCAAAATTTCAGACCATCAATTACAGATACCATGACCTATTGACCCATAATCAAGAGGTGTCTTCCTCTTTCCATGGGCCATGAAAAAATTAAGTTTTTCACTCTAAGGTTTTATCTGGAAACCAAAATGTTGATGTCTTGACCAAATTCATAATATTAGGGTACGAATGTTGCAACTCTTCTAAAAATTAAAAAATTCTGTAAAAACCGATTGTTAAAAGATACATTTGGGATTCCATTAGACTCCAACTTTATAATTTGTTGACATGTTAGCTTGCCGAGCATCCTGTTCCTATTTCCTATGTAAATGGAGTCGAAGTCATGCAAAATGAAATTATTTTGCACCACTTGTATGAAACTTTATGTTGACTTATTTGTATGTGAATTTCAATACTCATTAAAGAACCTTTAGTGAGTAAGCTCACATACCTACATCCTTATATTAAGGACAAAAGCTTATGATGACCTGATGGCATAATTTTCAATTTACTTAAAGATATGATATTGTGTTACACAATTTACCAAAAATCTATTTTTAGTTATTATGACCATGGTCTTGGACATTGTGTTATTCTCATTTTTTCCTTAAATCAATAGGGATCTTCCTCTTATTATATGTGACCATATATCCAAGTATGGTTGCTAATTTGTATGTAGTAGTTAATCATCTAAATAACTTTTCTGCACCAAATTTTCATTTTATTTTTAATATTAGCTTTGACCATTGATATGTCCTCAAAATCAATAAAGATTTTCCCTCATTAAATATGACTTTACATATATACCAAAGAAAGGTTGCAATCCCATGTCTAGTATTTGATAAAGCATCTGGAAACCACTCATAAATTTCAAACTATGACCTTCATCTTGTGACCTCAAAATCAATAGAAATTTTCCTCTCATTATATGCGATGCTTTATAGAAGTATACTTACAATCAAATATAACGTATTGGAGTTAGCATCTAGAAACAAAAATGACTGATTAAGATACAGGTAAAAAACTAAAGTTTCCCCTGCTACTTTGTAGCCTGGGGTAGAATAAGATCTGGAAAATGGACAATAGAAAGTCAACAACATTTACTTGTCAGAGAGAAAGTTTCGGGGTACAAATCACAAAACAATCATTGCTACTGGTACATGTACTTTTGTTCATATACTGATCATATACTGAAAATTCAGTTTTTGCAATGTTATTATTTTTATTGCAAAAATTGCAACAAGATGGGTTTTGCATTAAATCTCACATCTGAAATTTTGAAAGCATTATTTGTATGCAGCATTTAATGGAATGGTGATTATCAATCATGCTTTTTTGTCAATTGTGCAACCAGCAGTTGCAATAATAAATGCAAAGATTTCTGAATTTACAGTAATCCAGTTTTAATGTTTTTGTTGTGCTTCATGCCTATCTGATGAGTCAAGCCATTACCAAATGATTTTAATTTTGTTCTTCTGTTGTGTTCTTATACCACTGTCCAAGGTAAGAGGGGAAGGTTGAGTGCTCACAAACATGTTAAAACCATGCCACGTTCTCTGTGTGTCTGATCCAAGTCAATAGCCTGTTTTTCAGTGGTTTCTATTGGTTGCCGTCTGCTTTATTTGTTTCTAGTTCCATTGTTTTAGCATAAATCTGGCTTTTGGTTTTCTCTTTTGAATTGATTCACATTTTCCAATGCCGGGGTGTTTTACAACTTACAATATGATATGGGTTTTGCTCATTGTTGAAAATTGAACGGTGGCCATAAAGTTGTTAACATCCTCATGCTTTGGTCATTGGTAGATACTGTAAATTCAGAAATTATTGCGTGCATTTATTGATGTGATTTTTTTAAGAATGGACAAATATTCGAGATTATTTATTGCGATTTCTGGAAAATCTGCATACACATAAATGTATCAGATATCAAAATGCGAGTTCTTATTATTGCGATTCACACCCCGTCGCATTATTTGCATTAATAAAAACCTCGCAATAATTTCTGAATTTACAGTAGTTGCTTCATCGGCAATCATACCACATCTACTTATTTTCATATTAAAAATTCTTGAATATACATTTTCCTACTTTGTCTATCTCCATCAAGGAAAATATTAGCATCTGAATTTCAAGTGCTGAAAAAAAAACCATTTAAATGCTAGGATGATACTATGTGGGCTATGGGAACAAATTTGCCTAAGGTATAGAACCACTAATTCTGACCAGTCTAGAAAAACACATACGAAAGAACACATTTCAAACAAAATAGTTCTTAACCATAGCTTAATCTTTCAAAATATGTAAATTATTTATGAAATGAAAGCTGAAGGACTTTGGATCCCTGTTTCATTTCTGTTGAATGTCTTATTTAGAATGATAAAAAAAAATGAAATAGAAGGGCATATTTGCCCTCTTGTATGCAATTAAAGGTATGTGAATTTTTTCAGCACAAGGCAGGCTAAATTATTGTTTTGACATGAAATGACTGTTTCTTTATTTACTCTTGAGACAATATGGCGGTGAATGCTGGAAATTGCATTGATTATAGGTTTTATTCCTGAAATACAGATGAAAAGATTAATACAATGCTCCACTGTGTGCAGCTTGATACGACCGCGGAGGTCGAACCCTGAACAGTTGGGGCAAGTATGGACACAACATTCAAGCTTGATACAGCTCTGAATTTGGATTGTGATTAAATATTTGACACAGCATAGGTTTCTGACACAGAATGAATGTGGTCTAAGAACTTAAAATTTTTAATTTACCTATTATGGTCCAATATCCAAAATCTAAATACATACATGGTTAGATTCAGCATATCAAATAACCCCAAGAATTCAATTTTTGTTAAAATCAAACTAAGTTTAATTTTGGATCCTTTGGACCTTAATGTAGACCAATTTGAAAACGGGACCAAAAGTTAAGAATCTAAATACACGATTAGATTCAGCATATCAAAGAACCCCAATATTTCAATTTTTGATGAAATCAAACCATATCATTATTATTTGCTTTTATATATCAATCAATAAAATGCTTCTCTGAGCGCAGCCTGATACGACCGCAGAGGTTGAACCCTGAACAGTTGGGGCAAATTTGGACACAATATTCAAGCTTGATACTGTCTGAATTTGGAATGTGATAAAATTTTTGACATAATATAGGTTTCTGACACAAAATAAATGTGGTCAAAGATCTTATAAATCCATTGCCCAATACTGTGCAATTGAAGATTTCTTCTTGAAACTTTTCAAAAATTCGAAATTTAAAAAATAAAAAAAAGAATATGAATCCCTTAAAAAAATTGGTAAAAATACCCCCCCCCCCCCCCAACTTTTTGAAACCCCCCTTGGAGCAATAACCATTAAACTCAATCCCAGCCTTTCCTTTGTAGTAAGGAACCTTGTAGTACAATTTCAGAGAGATCCATACACTTACACACAAGTTATTGTCTGGAAACTAGAAACATGCTTGTTTTTGGCCCTTTTTTGGCCCCTAATTCCTACATAATTGGGGCAATTAACCCCAAACTCAATCCCAGTCTTCCCTTTGTTATATGGAACCTTGTGGTACAATGTGCCCCTTTTTGGCCCCTAATTCCTAAACTGTTGACCCCATAACCCCTAAAAGGAATCCAAACCTTCTACTTGTGGTATTAAACATTGTGGTACAATTTCAGAGCAATAGAAATACTTATACACAAGTTATTATCCTGAAACTAGAAAATTGCTTGTTTTGGGCCCCTTATTCCTAAACGGTTGGGACCATCATCCCCAAAATCAATCCCAACCCTCCTTTTTTGGTATTGAACCTTCTTAAAAAATTTCATAGAGATCCATTCACTTAAACTAAAGTTATTGTCCGGAAACCAATGTGTCTTCGGACAACGACGCAGACGGCGACAACATCATACCATTATACGATCCCAAAATTTTTTTTGCGGTCGTATAAAAATAACCAACTTAAAATGGAAAATTTTAAAGAAAAAAAAAGGAAATAAAGGGAAAAAAAATCCCCCCCCCCAATTTTTTGAACCCCCTGTAGTACAATTTCAGAAAGATCCATACACTTACACACAAGTTATTGTCCTGAAACTAGAAAAATGCTTGTTTTCTGCCCCTAATTCTTAATATTTTGAGGCAATTACCCCGACACTCAATCCCAGCCTTTCCTTTGTGGTATGGTACCTTGCAGTACAATTTCAAATCCATACACTTGAACACAAGTTATTGTCTGGAAACTAGAAAAATGCTTATTTTTGGCCCCTTTTTGGCCCCTATTTCCTAAACGTTTTGGGCAATTACCCCAAACTCAATTCTAGCTTTCCCTTTGTGATATGGAACCTTGTAGTACAATTTCAGAAAGATCCATACACTTACAAGTTATTGTCCTGAAACTAGAAAAATACTTGTTTTTTGCCCCTTTTTGGCCCCTAATTCCTAAAATTTTGAGGCAATTACCCCCAATATCGATCCCAGCATTCCCTTTGTGATATGGAACCTTGTGGTACAATGTCAGAGAGGTCCATATACTAACACACAAGTTATTGTCTGGAAGTTACAAAAATGCTTATTTTTTGCCCCTTTTTGGCCCCTAATTCCTTAACTGTTGGTACCATAACCCCCAAAATCATTCTCAACCTACCTTTTTGGTATTGAACCTTATGGTAAAATTTCAGAGATCCATTCACTTAAACTTAAGTTATTGTGTGAAAACCAATGTGTCACTCCCATAGGTTCACAGTTATATAAATAGCTGATGGTTGATAGTTAGGTAAACAGCTGTTGATTGACAGTTATGTCAAAAGCTGATGGTTGAGTTATGTAAACAGCTATTGGTTGACAGTTATGTTAACAGCTGATGATTGACAGGTATGTAAACAGCTTATAATTGACAGTTATGTAAACAAATGATGGTTGACAGTTATGTAAACAGCTGATAATTGACAGTTTGGTAAACAGATGATGGTTGACAGTAATATTAACTGCTGATCATTGACAGTTATGTAAACAGCTGATCATTGACAGTTATGTGACCAGCTGATAATTGACAGTTATGTAAACAGCTGATGATTGACAATTGTAAACATCTAATGGTTAATAAGTATGCAAACAGCTTATAATTGACAGTTATGTAAACAGGACAGTTTGGTAAACATATAATGGTTGACAGTTTGGTAAACAGCTGATGATTGACAGTTTTATAAACAGCTGATAATGAACTAAAAATTGATGGTTTGATAAAGAGCTGATGGTTGACAGTAATGTTAACCACTGATGATTTTGACAGTTATGTGAACAGCTGATCATTGACAATTATGTAAACAGCTGATCTTTGACAGTTTGGTAAACAGCTATTAATTGACATTTTGGTAAACAACTGATGATTGAGTTATATATACAAGTGATAATCGACAGTTGCATTAACAGCTGATAATTGACAGTTAGGTAAACAGCAGATAATTGAGAGTTATGTTAACAGCTGATCATTGACAGATTGGTAAACAGCTGAAAATTGACAATTTTGTAAACAGCTGATGGTAGACAGTTATGTAAACAGCTGATGGTAAGTAGTTCTGTAATCAGCTGATAATTGACTGTTATGTTAACAGCTGATGGTTGACAGATAGGTTTACAACTAAACATTGTAAACAGCTGATGGTTGATAGTGAGGTAATCAGCTGATAATTGACAGTTATGTAACCAGCTGATAATTGACAATTATGTAAACAGCTATTAGTTGACATTTTGGTAAACAACTGATGATTGAGAGTTATGTTAACAGCTGATCATTGATCATTAAAAGTTTGGTAATCAGCTGATGATTGACTGCTATGTGAACAGCTGATGATTGACTGTTATTTGAACAGCTGATGATTGACTGTTATGTAATCAGCTGATAATTGACAGTTATGTAAACAACTGATAATTGACAGTTATGTAAACAGCTGATAATTGACAATTATGTAATCAGCTGATGATTGACCGTTATGTAAACAGCTGACAATTGACATTTATGTAATCAGCTGATCATTGACAGTTATGTAATCAGCTGGTAATTGAGTTATGTAAACAGCTGATGATTGACAGTAATGTAAATAGCTGATGATTGGCAGTAATGTAAACAGCTAATGAGTTATGTAAACAGCTGATAGTTAGGTTACCAGCTGATAATTGACTGTTATGTAAACAGCTGATGGTTGACAGATATGTAAATAGCTGATGAGTAACAGTTATATAAACAGCTGATGATTGACAGTTACGTAAACAGCTGATAATTAAAAGTTTGGGAAACAGCTAATGATTGATAGTTAGACATACAGCTGGTGATTGAGTTTTGTAAACAGCTGAGGGTTGACAGTACACAGCTGATAACTGACTGTAAATAGCTGATATTACAGCATAATTTTCTCTAAAAAAATGCCTGTACTAAGTAAGGAATAGTTGCTACAATAAGTTGCTCTCCATTTTTGTCGAGCCTGCGACTTTTGTCGCAGAAAGCTCGACATAGGGATAGTGATCCAGCGGCGGCGGCGGCGGCGGCGTTAGCTAACTTCTTAAAAGCTTTATATTTTAGAAGGTAGAAGACCTGGATGCTTCATACTTTGTATATGGATGCCTCATGTTACGAAGTTTCCGTCAGTCACATGTCCAATGTCCTTGACCTCATTTTCATGGTTCAGTGACTACTTGAAAAAAAAGTTAACATTTTTTGTAATGTTAAATTCTCTCTTATTATAAGTAGTAGGATAACTATATTTGGTATGTGCGTACCTTGCAAGGTCCTCATGCCCGTCAGACAGTTTTCACTTGACCTCGACCTCATTTCATGGATCAGTGAACAAGGTTAAGTTTTGGTGGTCAAGTCCATATCTCAGATACTATAAGCAATAGGTCTAGTATATTCGGTGTATGGAAGGACTGTAAGGTGTACATGTCCAACTGGCAGGTGTCATCTGACCTTGACCTCATTTTCATGGTTCAGTGGTTATAGTTAAGTTTTTGTGTTTTGGTCTGTTTTTCTTATACTGTATGCAATAGGTCTGCTATATTTGGTGTATGGAATGATTGTAAGGTGTACATGTCTAGCTGGCAGGTGTCATCTGACCTTGACCTCGTTTTCATGGTTCAGTGGTCAAAGTTAAGTTTTTGAGTTTTGGTCTTTTTTTCTAATACTATATGCAATAGGTCTACTATATTTGGTGTATGGAAATATTTTATGATCTATATGTCAGTCACGCAGGTTTTATATGACCTTGACCTCATTTTCACGGTTCATTGCTCAGTGTTAAGTTTTTGTGTTTTGGTCTGTTTTTCTTAAACTATAAGCAATAGGTCAACTATATTTGTTATATGGAAGAATTGTTAACTGTACATGTCTGCCTGGTATGGTTCATCTGACCTTGACCTCATTTTCATGGTTTATTGGTCAGTGTTTAGTTTTCTTGGTTAATGTTAAGTTTATGTGACAGTTGTAATAAAGCTTTATATTTAGGACTATCAACATAATATCAATGATTAGTAAAGAAGGCGAGACATTTCAGCGTGTGCACTCTTGTATAGATTTGAATTTTGAACTGTGGTAAACTATTTTTCTTTCTTTATTACTAATTTATCCAATGTCTTAAAAACAGACACTATAATAATTTAACCATCTAAAACAACTGTAGTTGATATTAAATGAATGAAAACCTTATCTCTTTCATGTGAACTGTTTTCCTTGTTTTTTATGTGCTACAATATACAACAACTCTAATGAAGATGGTTTTATAATTTTATTTTGTGTCGGTCCCCATAATGGGTAGTCAAATCACCATGGATATGACAAGCAACAAGTTATGTCAAAGGTCATCTGTCCAGTTATAAACAAACAAAGTTAGTTATCCCCCTTCCGTTCTACTCTATGACATAAACAATAAACAATCAATCCACTAACATTATATTTAAAGGTTTAAAATTTGATGTCAAAAAATTGTGGTCAAAATTTTTTAAAATTGAAAAACACATTGATTATGTCAGTGTGCAAAATTCCTGTATATTTTGTTTGGTGTGTCAATATGACAAAACATATCCAAAATGGTGTAAAATAGTTTACAACTTGTGGAACAGGAACAAAAATTTCATTTCAAAAGGTACGGTAGTCAATTCAGCAAGAATGCAATTGACAGTAAATTCATTTGATAACCAATTTGACTTTTAAAATATAATAAACTAGTTATAAACAGGTTCTTTCAAGTGAGAGCCCTTATTTGTCTTTTGATCTATATAATTAATCTTCCTTTCTATTCCATTGTCTATAAAATTAAAGCCTAATTCTGCCCTGACAAAATATGTTGCAAGCAATGATTTCATTTATAATATAGCCATTTATCTTAAGTACAAATTTGGTTGAAAAGCCAACAAGCAATAAATAAAAATAAAATCAGCACGATAAAAATGGAATAAATTGGAATAAAAGATCACAATATAAAAGATGAGATTAAAGCAATGATAAAAATGGTGACAATTTGTTCAAAATACAGTAATTTGGTATTGCAATATCTGATTCAACAAATGACTGATAACAACATGTAAATAAAAATGTAAAAGCACCCCAGATAATAAATATATATATGTAACAACCTACATGGGAAAAAAATGGCAAAAAAATGTCTCCAATTAATCTACACAAAATATTTGATCCTTGTCAAAATGAGAAAAAACATGTTTTATTTAACACGATTCAAAATTTACAAATACAGATTAGGGAATAATTATACACGTCCCCATTAAATTTGAGTATTTGATACTCCCGAAATGAAAATGTACATGCCCACTTACGACGACTTGCTGCCTAATTATTGGGCTTCTGAACACCTTGTCTTATAAACATTTTATGTAGAGTATCATGAATGCCATGGTTTAGTTTTTAACTACAAAATGGGTTTTAGCTACATCTGTACAATAATACATTATATACAATTTCTAGCTATGCTAGATATAGAATTTTATGTACATAATCTAAGGCAGTGACATAATGATGATTTTACAACATGTAAGAGATTTGCATAGTCAGAAAAAAAACAACAGTGAAAAAAAATCACCAAATATAGTACTCTATCCTCTAACATAACAATGTATTATAACAGACAACAGCTAGGATATATACATTATGCCTAAGTAATTATCAAAATCCTTATACCATATCAATATCATCTAATTCTACCCAATTCATTCTTATGGCAAAAACCTCACAAATATTTAAAATCTGGGCCCAGATAAATAATATAACAAAACATAACAACTGCAGGTTCAATATATGTTTGTTCAATATTAACCAACTGTTTAATTCATAGGCCTAGATGTTTTCACAACACCAATGTTTAAAAGAAAATTTGAATTGGGTTACAGCTGTAATAGAATGACAACATTGATATATGAAGATCTAACACATCAATAACAACCACACGTAAGGATACAGGGCAGTGTTTAGAATGGAGAACCATTATAAGACTATTCAGTTTTGACTGTATTGACTACAATAAATAATGAAGTTTTACATCATTCAGATGGTTTGATCTTTGTGAATACTCATACTAGTATCATATCAAATAATACTTCTTTGTGCAAATATTTATAAATAGGGTTTGTATTTCAATATTTTTCTAAATTAGAACAATTTTTTTGTAGAATTTATGGTTATGAGATGGACAAGTTTGCTGATTTTCAAGTTGTCTTCTTCGTTATCAATCACAACTTTCACCTCAAATGCTTTTTAATTGTTTTAGTAAAAAGAAAATAACCTTATGTTTTCGTGCTAATGTATCTGGCACTTGATTATTTTTTTCTTAGCCAATAATTTGTTTATTAAAAATAAATTGAGGATTATTCCACATTCATGTAATATAATCCAAATAAGTACTAAGAAATGAAATAAACTTCAAAAATTTACTTTGAATTTTGCTCTGCACAAAGAATATTTTTCTTTCAGTTGTTTTGGTTAGTACAACCTTTAAAGTAAGAAATAATGTGGCAGTGTATAACAGCTGTTCACTTGTTGACATACACGCATACTAATGAGTAAACACGGGACTGTAATCATATCACAGCACTACTCCTGCCATTTCTATGTCCTTCATTCCATACATCTAATGCTGAGTATACATGTATATCGTTCTGCCGATTTTGCTCTGTTTTACTTCAGCAGATCCAACACTGGACATTATCTTTCATGACTTCCTAGTCCACATACCATTATTATTTGATGAGACTTTTGGCCTTTTGTCATACATCTAATGTGTGTGGTTTTTTACTCTGTCGTTTACAGTCTAATAAATATGACAAATCTATTCTCTGTTTACTGTGGACAGTTGATAACATCTTCAACATTATTCTGTCTATTCTGTTCTTCTTTTCTTTAACCTGAAATAACATGTCAAGCTTATTTATAAATTACGTGATTTGAAACCAATACAACTGGAACAATAACAGCTAACCAATGAAATCAATATGAAATGCAGATTAACTATAGCCATTGAACATCTATTATCACATTACTATGAGATACATGTAGGCTTCAAATTGTGATGTCCTATCATTTCTGGAATAACAAATTTGACAATTGTCAATATTGAAAAGGAGATCATCTTCAATGAACAGATCAAAGCATTTTGTAGTATTTGAGGAAGATCCATTCAATAAAACTTGAGTTATTGCAAGACATGCTCACACAGACAAAAGTATACCAAAATATTAAAAGTCTGTCCTAAATCTGTGTAGTATTTTTTGAAATACAGTCAAACCTCACAATCCTGAGTTCACATTCCCTTATGTTTGAACCTTGTAATGAGAACCTTTTACATTTAATGTTATAAAACATGTGACATATTCCAATTCATCTGCATTTATAAAAAAAAAAAAATTTGATAACAAAATGTGGCCAAAAAAATTAAACAATACACAAATGTTTCCAAAATTAGGTCAATATAGATAAAGAAACATTGAACTTTATCCATCTTAAATCAATGTTGTCATCATTGGTCTTTTTAAAAAATTTGTGTTACTATCTAATGGCTGTTCCAGATTTAAATGCACCGGGGGATTAAAGGCACTCAAATTAATAATAATTATAGTAAATAGTTGTACAGATAATTTAACAATTTTACATTCAATACCTTCTGAGCCTCCATCTTTTGATACTGTTCTTCTTCCTGCTGCAGAACTTTTGGGTCTTTAGCTTTCCCTTTCAGACTTAATCTTTTCTTTTTTCTTGATGCCGAACTTGAATCAAGAATTTGTTTTTCTGGTCTTATTTTAGTTTTATAAGCTTCAGGTACTTCATGAGGCTACAATACAAAGTCAAATATATTCAAATTTCATAAATTGTGTACATCAAGAAACATGAACAACTAGAAAATGAACCGACAAGACACAAGAGGATCCCAATAATCATCCAATAAAATAATTATACAATGCAATTAACTATTGAAGTCTCTAAGAAATTTGAAATCTAATCACTTGTTTAAGCAGTTTTACTGATAAAAAGTAATGATGGGCAAATAAATGGACACAGCAGTTACTATATACTTGGACATATCAATAATTAAACACATTATAGAATTGCAGGAAACTTATGAAAATCTACCAAATGTCACACATATAGAATAAAGATCACAATAATAATCCTTATAATGTTCAATAAATGTTTTGCACTTTACAAGAAAAATGTAAAGAATATGACATAAAGGGTAAGAGTATCAAGAGATAAATGCCAGGCTTCAGCAAAAGTTTTCATACATAAATGTAGATCATAGTGTCCTCAACTGAATGGAATATCCTTCTTTATTTTGCATACACCGTAATGTTTAATATACATATATGTTCACAATAAAAATTCCGGTCTTCTGGCCATTTAAGATTACCTACTCCATGTGAAACAAGAATGTGTCCATAGTACACGGATGCCCCACTCGCACTATCATTTTCTATGTTCAGTGGACCGTGAATTTGGGGTCAAAACTCTAATTTGGCAATGCAATTAGAAAGATCATATCATAGGGAACATGTGTACTAAGTTTCAAGTTGATTGGACTTCAACTTCATCAAAAACTTTAACCTGAAGTGGGACAGACGGACGGACGCAGAGACCAAAAACCATAATTCCCCTCTACTATTGTAGGTGGGGAGTTTTATTTTTACTGTCTTTTAAGCCAGATATAATATGTACTTACTGAATAAGTTCGCTTTGGGTTTAGTCTCTGGGGAAATTTATCAAAACAATATGACTTGGTATTGATGGCGTACCTGAAATAGAAATAAAATCAATTATCAAATTTCATTATTAAAGCATGTTAAATGTGTAATAATCTAAATCTAATGGACAATATCTAACACAACAAACTACAGAACAAATATATACATATATTGATCTGTCTTGTTGTTGTAGTCTAACATGAATTTATTGGATTATCTAAAACTCATATAGTAAAATAAATATCTATCTCATCTCCAACTGGAGAAATCATGCATCAAAGCAGTCAAATTCATTAAAGTCTCCAGCTACATTCACACATGTATGTTGAATATACTTACAGACAGTGAACTAGCAGTTTGACTTGAAATATGCAAAATATAAAGATTTAAATCAAAAGTGAAGTTCTTGATTACATGTACATGTAGGCTGCATATACAGACAGTGAACTATCACAGTTGACTTAAATTATGCAAGATAAAAAAAAACATATAAATTGAATGCGATTTTTAATTAAATTGATGGTCTTTTCAAGGCATTTTGTTTTCCAGTGACAGGCAAATATACCATATGATGTCTTCTTAATTTATTACGATTCAGAAATAATATAATAATTCATTTTGTTTGGTAAATTGTTTTACTTACGGGTGTTTTGAGATCTTGTAAAATAGATGAGCAGTTTTATCCAGTCTGTATTCACAAACATATATATCTTGTTCCCTCATAACCTTGGGACGACCTTTACAGTATGTATTCAGATCCATTACACAGCAGCTGCCAATAATTGTTTCCAAAGGGATCATTTCGTAAAGAGGCATTCTGAACACTTCATTAGGGAAGAACTTCCTGGACGGTTCATGGAATGTTTCATGCGGATGATAAAAGTTGTGTCCAAAGGCAAATTTATTTTGGCTGAAATAAGAAAATAATCAATACCATTATTAATTTAATTTCAATACTTTACTTATTCAATCAACAGAAATGATGGATTGCAATACAGTTTACGGGGGTCAAATAAATTAATAACTCAAAACATGTCAGCACGGGCCCTGCTAGCACATTTTTGTGTGAAGCACAGAGACAAATAATTAATACTGATGCAAGCAAATAGAAATATGTAACTGGGGATAAATATTCATAGATTTCGTGTTTCAAGCTAATCATGAAATCTAGTGCCTAAAGAAAAACTTTTTTTTTTACTGACAATTTTACCACCAATAAAATAATATGCACACCTGCATATGAAATATACCAATGGTACACAATTGTTTTTCAATCCTACTCATACTATTTGAGATTTTTCATTCACAAAAAGTGATTCTAAAAAACTGTTGACACAGAGATTTGCCTCGTTTTTATGTAATTTTGATAGTAAAATACAACTGTTGATCTCAAAATGGCAATATTTTAACATGTAAACTATCCAAAACATTCAAAGTCATTGAACCATGACAGAAGCTGCAGGGCCAAATAACACAGGTCCCTTCAGTGTTGACACTTACTTTCCATCTTTCCACAATCTCTCTATTCTGAAGATTTCCAGTTTATCATGACCGATCTCTGCCACCAGTTTGTATGAAGTTTTGATACTATCCACACTGATGTCTTTAGACATAGGAACATCCCTGAGTACATACACACAATCTCCTACTCGTACTTGTAACTCGTCTCTCATTAATGTCATATAATATGTCCATCCTGGTGTACCATCCTCTGGCTGGGGATCCGCTATAATTTCCTGATTAATGATAAAAAGATTTTTGAATAATTCAGACCCAAACCATACCAGAATATCAACAATAATAGCTTTACAGAAATACTGTTGCTTTCCATAATTTTCATTAATTACATTTATAAGCCTCTACAATATTTCATGGATTTAATTTTTGTTTTAATTTTTAACATTTTCAACACACATGCACTGCTTCAGAAGTAATGGCGATATTCGTGCAGTAAAGCATTTTTGGTTATAATGCATTTCTTCATTTATTATTCTTGATTTATAATGTTTTCCTATAAATGCAACAATAGTGTAAAAAGACTTCTTTATATTGTATTATAAAATGTAAGGCATTCTTTTATTTTGTCTAACACAGGGTACCTTTTGTAAAAATTGTGTCTTACCAAATATCACTACAATAATTTACCTACCTTACTGACAGGTCGTGGATTACAGAGTTCACATAAATAATTCTCTACATCTCCTTTCACCTTCATACAATCACAATGCTGCCATATCTACAACAAATATAACAATAATAGTTTATTTGAATTAATGTGATATACAATTGAAAATGAATAGATGTGTCGGAACAACATGAATGGCCCCGCTCGCAAAAAAAGCTTGAAGCTCCAAATGTGAAGGCGTTTAGAAAAAAAGTCTGTATAACTGTTATTTTCACAAAATTTTCAAAGTCCAAAGCCCATAATTTCGGCAAAAATCAGCAAAGCTGAACCAAATGTAAACTCAATCTGTAACTCATCATAGTAGACTCACATACTAAAAATCAGCTAAATATGTGAAGGCGTTTAGAAAAAAGGTCCATATAATTGTGACGGAATGACGGACAAGGGTAAAACTATATGGCCCTGACCACTTTGTGGCAGGGCCATAAAAATATGTTGAACATCATAAAAGTAACTTTTTATTTGAAAACTGGATTTTTTTATTTTACAATTTATCTCCCTTGCACAATGCCAGATGACAAATTTTTGCCTTTTATTTTTTTAAATTCATGAAACATCATTGAATACTATTTATCATGCTTATGTTTAACATAGTATGAATAAGTACTTACAAAACATTTTTCACACTGTATCATCAGACCTTCATCTCTAAATATACCACAGACACAGCGAATCACCTCTTCCTCATCCTCTTCATCTTTTTCATCTGTTTATATAAACACATATGTTATGTTTTTGACTTTTTTTTACCACTAGATTCCCCAGTCTTGCATGTTTGTAACAGCATGACTGGTTATTCTAATATTGGTTTTTGCTAAATTATTTGCAAGAGATCAGATGATTAATATTTGAGCTTATAGTAACATAACAATAAATTGAAATAACCTGTCCTGTTGTTTGAGAGTGTACCTAGTATGAATAAAATACTAACACATTAAAATACTTTAAAATTCATACTGAATATTCACACTACTTCAAATAATATAATAAATAAATAAATTAAGATTATTGCGTAAATTTTTGAAGGCTTAAACCTAATCTGTCCACTAGGTAACTATGTATCCTCCAACATAAACTTTCGTTTTTGCAAAAGAAACAATTTGTCACCATGCAAAAATATGCTATATTGATTTGTCTGTTTCCATATTAAAAAAATCTCTATTTTCTTTTGAAGGTACAATTGTCTTATTTAAATTTACTATAAAAGGTGATATTCAAATAACAAAGGACAAACATGTTCACAATCTATTGTGAAATTCTCCTTTCAAAGCCACATTCATGAGAACTGACATAGTTTTTTTTTTTTGAAAGATTATTTTTTAAGAGAAATAAAAACAAATTATTTTCATGGCTGTCACTTATTCTAGTAGCAGCATTACAGCATAAAAATATACTTGACTACTTACCCTGGACATCATAAGAGTCTGCTTCTGACACTAGTGATTGAACTGTTTCTCCTAAAACATCTTCAAGAAGAGGTAGTACTTCCGTCTTTGAACCAATATACACTTGTCTTAACTTTATTATCAGATTTCCAACCCAGGATGTTTTTCCACAATATCTCTGAAATAAACAAGAACATTTATTTCTGTATCTTTTTTAATAATTTCGAATTTCCTATTTTTGGTTTCAAGCATTTTTGACAAGAAAAAGAATTGTGCATGATGTAATAAAGTTGTAAAACAAATTCAGTTTCCTACCCAAGGACGTACAAGGATGCAATTATTATCAGTACCAACTAACATATTTTACACTTTGCCAGAATCTGTGTAGTTTTAAAAGATGTGGGTATATGTCAAGGAGACAGTTACCCAGCATCACAAAACACCAAAAGACCTATGGTATTCAACAATAGACAAGTGTCAATACAATATATCTGGCTCAAATCTAGAAAAGTGGATAATCAAGGACTATCAAAGATCTTCCTGAGGGGAAGGTTGAGGTATACTAAAACTAGTTAAACCCCATAATATGTTCATCATTATCCAGTCAGGAATTTTTAGATGTATCAAAATATTTATTTGCCATTTTGAGAATTTATAGTCAATTGCATATCTTTGATTTTACTTTTTCAGCGATTTTATGGGCCACAAATACTGGCTCTTGTCATATTTTCCTTGGACATAAAAATCCATGAATACAATAATGAGTAGTTACTGTAGTACTACTGTGTATCATTTTATTTTCCTTGTGCATTAAATCTATTAATATCAGACTTATTAAAGATGTACAGCGTGAAGAAACCAGAAAGTAAAATGGTGTTTCTTGTTTTCTACATGACATACATACAGTTGTTGCCTCACTTGCATGTTTATTAGTTTAATGGCATAGAAAACAGACAAAATTCATAGAGTATCATAAATAATGATTTTATATAACAGAAGATAAGATTAAATTTACTAACCTCTGCATTTTTAAACAGCAGATTAACATCATTATCAAACTCCTTTAAGTCTGTGTATTTTCCTTGTGATATGTGTTTCTCTATAACATGAAAGTCAATAGGTTTCTCTATAACTGTGTAATATTCTGGATGCTTCTTCTTTGAAGGTAATGTCAGGAATGAAGCCAGCTCCTTTCCATCCTCACCTGTGGAAAATATAAAACATTGTATTAACCCTTTCATCAATAGCTGCCCTGACAGAAACTACTCTGAGACTATGGCTTCCCTGGCTATTGTGACACAAATGGGAGAACTTTGTATTATTTATCTGACAATAAAAACTTGTCTGTAGCTATTTATGTCTTCATTTTATTCACTTACACCATGGACACAGTTTTGTTTATGTTTTAATAAATTTTTTGTCAGAAGAAAATCAAATTTGCTAATTTTCGGCATTGAAATACATAAAATTCAAGAAATTTGTCTTTTGAACCCAAAATCGTAAATATTTAACCCAAAACGGCAAAAGTTTGAAAATTTTTATCAGGTTGTACAAAATCCTTACACTTGACTATGTCCATTCCAAGTGTTTTTGTACATAAAACAGCATTTTATGTCAAAATAATATAGTAGTCTGGCTTCAATTCTTCCAAATCTTTCACAAAAAAATGTTCCCTTATTTCAAATTCCAGTAAAATTCGTAAATTTCAGTTGATTTTGACACGATTTTCAACAAACGGAAGCGCCATGTTTACACTTTCATCCATGCAATTAACAAAGAAAGGTAACTTGTGTTCGCAATGTTTTTCAGTGGGAAGTATAGAAGAGGGATGCCTATCCCGGTAAAATGGGACTCATCGTCAGCTGTCTGAAGTGTGAATCAACAATTTCCTCACACATATTTTTTTTTACCTTTCTTGTTTTAAATATAAAAATAGGTAGATGTTGTATGATTTGCCAATTACAAAACTATCTACCAGATTTCATATGAAGTTGATATAATTTTGTTTTGCACTTCTTATGTTTTCCAAAAACAACAAAATGAAGAGCTTATAAAAAATACGAATCTTTAACCACAGACATATTTTCATAAAAATAAACATTACCTTTGGAAGAGACTAGATTTTTTAATATTTGATGTAAAATCTGTGCTAGTCTGGCAGTTTGGGTCAATTCTGAATTCTCTTCAGCTAAAGCTAGACGTCTGGTCTTAACAGATCTAGAGGTTTTCAATGCAGTTAGCTGGGTTATAAATACATCTGCAATATTAAGAAAAGAAATTATTAAAATTCTAAACTATGCTCATATGCAAAAATCAGTTTTGTCAAATTTGTGCCTAAAAGATATAAACACACAGTGCCCCTTTGACTGAAGTATGAGACCCCCTAATTTGCATGAAAATAAATGTCAAATGGTGACAGAGGGCCTGACATAAACCTATGGAAAGAATTTGACTGCAATGAAAATATTTGATAAACTAAGTTTCCTTTTTTATTTATTCTATGTTAATAAATGGCTAATAACATAAACTTAACAATTAAACGTAGAATAAATTATGTTAAAAAATAAATGGGGAATGGACACAGATGATGTCCCCACTTGCATATAATGTTATAAAGGGAAATAACTCAAGAACTGTAAAAGTGACGCTACCCAAATTTGTACTTGATCTGAGTTTTGTGGTAATTAGCATTGTGTATAAGTTTCATACCATTTGGTTGAGGCAAACTAAAGTTAGAGAATGGAAACAAAAATTCAGCAATTTTTCCATTTGTAAAGGGGCATAACTCTAGAACGCTAAAAGTGACGCCACCAAAATTCAATCTTGATCTTTGTTTTGTGGTGATAAGCATTGTGTATAAGTTTCATAACATTTGGTGGAGGCAAACTAAAGTTAGAGAATGGAAACCAATTTTGGGACGTACGGACGTACAGACGGACAAGGGTAAAACTTAATGCCCCCTCCGCTACGGCGGGGGCATAAAATGTATTGCTATCCAGATATTCTTAAAATCTCTAAACTGTGAATGTATCTAAATAATTATAAATCTTTATTTCAGTATTAAAGGGCTTTACACTTAAAATGGATGTGGAAGAGCAAGAAGGGACTTCTTAAATCATCACAATCTACAAACTTTCTTTTGAATAAATTAGCAAACATCAAATGGACATAAACCATAAATGACACATGTCATATGTCCAATAATAAAACATCCCTACCTACCCTCCCCATTCCTTTTAATGAAGTCCTTATAGCTCACCTCTCTTTTTACAGGCAGTAGATTTAACTAGTTCTTCACTTTCTTCCTTCTCACATTCTGTCATTGGACCTCTTGTTCTCAGTTGTCTAACCTTGTCTAAGTTTCTTACAAGGAAGATAGAATATTTCCTGGCCATTGTCCTCTCTTTGTTTGATATTGGTTTTATTACAGGAAATGTTGCAGCAATAGTTTCCTGGGCTTGTTTCTGCTGCAAAATGTAAAAAAATGTCTATGTAATATGAATTTCGTTCAATCAAGGAAAAAATAACATCAGTCCAAGATTTTAATTAACAATTTTCAATTCCTCTAGATGAAGTTCAAAGCAATATTACAAAATTAAATGATAAAGAATCTTTACATTTACTGAAGTAGTAAAGAAGCTTTTACCTTTTCCCTGAACTTTTTCAGTTTGTTGTTGGATTTCCTTTTATCCTTTGGAGGCCTGCCTACAGGTCGCAGTGGTGTCACCTTCTCTTTAACATGTCCATTGCTTCTTTGGCTTCTTCCTCCAATTACTCCTCGACAATTTTCACTGCCACACATACAATCTTGCTGTAGTTTAAAAAATGTAAATCATAAATACACAAAATAGAAATGTTGTTCAGATTTTACGCAGTAAGGTACTACCATATAGCGGGTTGTTTTCGCGGGGTGTTTATTTTCGTTTATTTTGGCGGGTCAGGGGAAATCGCGAAAATAAATTCCGCGAAAATTTATGCATACGTTCGATTCTTTCTAATAGCTAAAGCGTTTTGTAAACTATCTATTTTTTCGAGTTCGACGGATCAATAACGGTTTATGTTAATTTAAACAACATAAATGCCAAAGGCCATTGTTCACTGGCTGTCAGGTCTTAATTAGTTGATTGGTTACATAATGAAATAAATAATAATATAAGAGTGTAAGGTACTCTGTCAGGTATTTTATCCTTATTAATTAGTGTCAAATTATATTAGAGTTGCAAGTCACTCATGCCGGGATTCCAAAATTATTTTTAGCCAGCCGGACATTTCATATATCATCCCGATTTTAATCCCTTAAGACTAAATAAACAAAAGGCAATTATGGTAATCAGTTGCTGAGTTGGCCATCCCAACTTCGGATTGACTTTAAACAGTTAAAAAAAAAATGATATTAAACTTTCTTTGATTCAAATTCGTAGTTCTGGCGTAAACTGTTGGCAGTGCATCATTTTGAAGTGTGCAACATCAGCGTACTTATATCTGCCTTAGACTCTTTATTTGTGCAAAATAACGTTGTCAAAAACTTTACTTTCGTTTTAAATCTAATACAGTATTATACCGGATATTATCTTGACAATGGTAAAACATGGCCCAGAGACAGATACCTAAATTCTGTGTACGTTTGCAAAGCATGAATGAGTGCAACTAGCTCTTTCTACGTTATTTCTTCAAGAAAATATTCGAAATAAACCTGAGATAACGGTATCAATGACAATTTAAGCATTCTTTGAAGAAATTAGGATGCATAATTAAATTTCACACCTGCACACATGCACACACATGTACTAGTTCAAACAGGTCTCTGGTTCAAACATCGTGGTTATGACGATTTTTCATTTTCACCTTTTTAATTTTTTCATCAAATCATATTTGTAAACGTATTTCTGATAATTTAAATCTTTTTGACTAAATTAATTAGATGCAAACTGCTGAAATGTAAGAAAATAACTTTGATTGACTGATCAATGTCCGGTTCAAAATATTTTACCTTTCACCTGAACAGGTAAATTTAAGCTGTTCGACAACTAATTAACCCTTTTAAAATGAGGAGGTATTAAAGTAGGGGTTGTTTTGATAGTACTTAATGATCATGTCACTTTTATGACCGGAAATGTGTGGCTGTTAAAGGCAAAAGGTTGGGTCAAAAAGATCGAGAATTATGTTAAAATGACCGTCTCTTAAGAAAGCCTTGAAAACTAAAAAGTAGATGACCGTTTCATGCTTTGCCCAGCCGGACTTTTACCGGACATTATACAAATGTCCGGAATATATGACTGTTTTGGAAGCCTTGCACTCATGATAATTTTATAATCTCATTAGTACATCAAAGGTCCGGTCAATTTCGTAACTAATCAACCGTAACATTTACAAGATGTTTGTACACCTGTGACAAATAACTATGTACCGGTATTCTATTGATTAATTTATCAAAATATAATCAATAAATAAGACGTCATGCAGGTAAAACAATCATTTAACAATAACAATGGACCCTTGTTTGTCAAGTTTTACAACTTTTTAACTGCAACCATTTCAGTATCCGCCAAAATATTGAATTGGGATTAAAGAATCCACCAAAATTAAAACCGCCAAAATTTTTCGTATACTTTGTTGCCCTTAAATCGCGAAATTTTACACCTGCAAAAATAACCCCCTATACGGTACTTTGAGGGAAATTAAAGAACAAGATGAACTGTAAGCTATTGACAACCCTGCCATAAGCATTTGGAAAACAGTAAGTTGCAGAGCAATGGATGTGCAAATGCATCCCACAGTATAGGATACTGATTCCTAGGTTCTAAGAAAAATTTGACCAAAACTTCATACATGGTCATTATGTGTAAAATGAAAAATTTGACCAAAACTTCATACATGGTCATTATGTGTAAAATATTTAAGTATTTGGTAAACAGCAAGTTGATAAGTGAGGAATATGAAAACACATTACATGATATAGAATTTTCATATAAAGCCATATAACAAATTAATGGACGCTCTGATTTGTAGAAACAGTATACCCTACTCTGAAAAAAATCTAGTGTAAGTTATCTCTCTCCTTGCTGTTTTATGCATAACCCATGAAGAAACAAGATGTACTGTGAGCTAATACTCATGACACCCAGCTATAGGTTGCAATTCTGTAAATATAGACAATGCAATTTCCCATAGGAACTCCCTTTGCGGCTAAAACTGTGCCACTTTTACTAGGAAATTTCGTGAAAAATTATATCCCAGAACGGAAAGTTGATATGCACTACTATTTTATTCAAAGGTCAAAATATAAGGCGGTGTGGCATATTTTCAACATTTATATGTCCTGAACTTCTAAGAGTTTAACTTATACTAAAATTCTAAACTACCCCTACCTCCACTTTTGGACCTCCTAAGAATTAAATTTTAGGCGCTACCATTTTTTTTTATACTGGTAACATTCTCAACTTATGTCTCTATGAGATGAAACACAGAGATCATATCTGGGAACCAGTACGTTAACAAATCAACATATCTATGAATATTATATATCTCCCCAAAAGAGGCTAGGCCTGTGAAACAGCTGTATTTACAAAGTGCAACCTATAAGTATCTGTTAACAGGAAGTTGATAATAAATGGATGTTAAAATGAATCAGATAGTAAAGCATGTTCACATAATACTGAATACAAAATTTCCAGATTCAGGTTTATAGTTTCTGAGAAATACGCCAAGGAAAATTCCTTTTTTTTATAAAATTTCAATATCACCATCATGCGTATTACAAGAATATGTAAATTTTCATTTAAACAGGAAGATGAAGAGAACTAAATCAAAACATCTGAATCAACTGCAATTTAGGGATTGCTTTATTGGTTTTATTTTATTTTTCTTATTTATTTTTTTCCAATTAAATGCTATTTAAAACAATTTACCTGAGAATCCATGTTATATGAGTGGAAATTATAATCGTAACACAACTCTTCTCCAGACTCAATGTCTCTCAAAGCAAACAAAGCCATTCTGTATACACCATTTACATTCCTACAAAATAGATTAGACATCTCAATATTCTTTATATGCATTTCACAAGGTAATAAAATACAACAAAACAAGCATTTCAAAACAGCCTATCATGGTCATTGGTACTGTGCTGCAGTATTGGCATGTATATTACATGACTAAAGTTTGCTTGATATCAGTATATTCAATTATTCAATCCTAGTTATTTCACATTAATGTATAAGTGAGTAAATATCTGGAATACGAAACTAGCCACAAGTACCTACTGAAAATTAGTAGATTATTACCACCTAAAAAGTCAAATGCATAGTTTAATTATTGCCATATTTTTTCCATCACATCTTTTACATTACTGGAAACATTGGTCAATTCTCATTTTATAGCACAATTTTTTTTTTACATTTATAGACATAGAAATCATTTCAACATAATAAAGAAACTTTCTATTCACATTAAAGAACTACTATCCTGTTTTTATTCAGTCTTGTAGTGTGTAAAAGCATCTTTCACATAATTTAGTTATAGCATAAGGCTGGGTTTTTTCAGCCTAAAAATGCTTATCAGAAATTTATGTAATAAAAAAAAATGCTTATAACAGTTTTAAAACATCTTTTGGCTGTAATTGTTTCATATTAATATATATTTGTATATGCCATTTAAAAATCTTTTGTGTTAATAGGATCATACAATTTCGAAAAAAAAATATGGTTGAAGTTAATATTTTCTTTGTAGGAGTTGATTTCTTTGCAGACAATAAATATCTATTCTTTCCTTTTGAGGTGACCATATCTAATTCAACAATTGGATTTGCATTTACTAATATGCTTAATAACATTTTTGGGGGTAAGAATTATCATTCTTATTACAGAATTGCTGTCATACAGACAAAAACTTAAAATACATTTTTTTCAAATTTCAAACAGTTATAAAAGCAGAATAATGAAATAATATTTTGCTATTAGCAGTCAGTTTGGTTCTATTTGGTAAAATTAAAATAAATCGAAAACGTCGCAAATGTATTATTGACTTGCAAGTCAATAATTCAACCTCAGTTGAATATGTATTCATGTTACCCTAACTTGACCTTTAGCTAAAGGTGGGTACCCATGCCCTAAGCATGTCCAGTTATTAAAAAGAAAAGAATGTCAACTTTGAGGAGTGAAACAAGGGAGCCTCCATAAAAAACCCATTTCTTTGACAGATTCGGCCCACAAGAAATCATTCATATCCAACTCAACATGCTTCTCAGTCTATATTTATATCAGAGCAAATGACTATCAGCAGTCTTCAGAGGTCATCTTGATGGTTAATTAGATGGCGCCTAGTCAAAAATATGCACGGAATGCTGATACATTATAAGGAGTCCATGCATTGTTAACGGTTTCTTTTGGAATTTTTGTAATGTTTTTAAGCATATTGTGAATCAAATATGATAATTTAAGTCAAATCGGTGATCATGAATTTGACAGCTTAAATATTCAATAACCAATGAAAAATATGGAGTGTTTACACTTACCATTTCTGTATTTCACAGTTAGGTTTGCATGAGTGGTTGACAAATCTACCAATGTTGCCCATTCTATACCCGTCTATCATGGCACCACTGTCTAGATTTAGACAATAATGATGTCGTTCCTGAGAATAGTTTTCTGTCATTCTTCTCTTAAATTCCAGCTCACTCACAACCTCTCCAAGGTATTCCAGAATAAACTGACCTGAAAAATAAACATTATAGTACTTGAGTTAATGTTTTGTATATATTGATTTTTAATTTGAGCTTTTACTTATAAATTCTCAAACATTTCTGACTTTATTTCCAAGTATACACAACCACTTTCAGTTCAAGAAGTAAGTACTGAAGTTTGCATGAATCGGGCACTGGCATAACTGTCAGTGTAAGCAGAATCTACAAAATCCTTTCAAATTTCATATTGTATGCTTTACCTCATATGTGTACTTTTCTTGATCTAAACCATATTTTTCGCTTTTAGCCTAACCGAATACGCATGACACGTTTTGGTAAATGTTGAGCCAATAATTCAATTTGCTAATAAATAATGTGTGCTTGAAACAAGTTTTGTTTGTAGTCTTTTGTATGAACACAATAACAACCAAGTTGCTTGAACATGTTAATGTAAATGATTCTCCCTCTCAATACCAAAATGTTCTCATCCTGAATATGCATTTAATTTGCCACTGGAATTAACCATGCTTGATTCTAATATTATGTCAAACTCATTTACATCTTTTCAATAATAGATGACATCACAAAACCACACAATAAAAGATATAAAAAAGTTGTGCACATTGATAAAGTTAGGGAGGAAACATCATAATTTACAATATCAAGAGTGATATACACAACTTACCAGCAGTTAATTTCTCTGATACCCTAACTCCACAGCCTCTGTCAGCAGTAATGAACACATCCAAACCTCCAGCCCAATCATGTTTCTGTATCCTCTGGTTGGCACATTGGTCATCACATGGACAAGCTGATGGTGAACATTCTGTGAAAACTAACCTGGAATAAAATAATAATTCTATTATAATATACTCCTTAAATTTATTAAACTTCATAAAGGGTTAGCTGGAACCCAGTGTCCATTTATCAGTAAAATACAGAAAAATATAATAAAAAAAAAAATTCTTCACATGCTTTTTCTTAATCTTGAAGAAGCTTCTGTCCTAGTTTCATAACATTCAATAACGTTATTGATGTCTAAAATAAATGGGGAATGTGTCCATGGGACACAGATGATGCCCCCGCTTGCATATAATGTTATAAAGGGACATAACTCAAGAACTGTAAAAGTGACACTACCCAAATTTTTACTTGATCTGAGTTTTGTGGTAATAAGCATTGTTTATACATTTCATAACATTTGGTCGAGGCAAACTTAAGTTAGAGAACGGAAACGAAAAATTTTGCAAAATTTTGCAATTTTTCCATTTGTAAAGGGGCATAACTCTAGAACGGTAAAAGTGACGCCACCAAAATTCAAACTTGATCTGTGTTTTGTGGTAATAAGCATTGTGTATAAGTTTCATAACATTTGGTTGAGGCAAACTAAAGTTAGAGAACGGAAACCAATTTTGGGACGTATGGACGGACGTACATACAGACAGATAAGGGTAAAACTTAATAACCCATCTGCTACGGCGGGGGCATAAAAATAATCCCAGACTGTATGTAAAAGTTAATTGCAAATAAAATGCTCCGCTGGGGCGCAGCTTGATACGACCACAGAGGTCGAACACTGAACAGTTGGGGCAAGTATGGACACAACATTCAAGCTTGATACAGCACTGAATTTGGATTGTAATTAAATATTTGACACAGCATAGGTTTCTGACACAGAATAAATGTGGTCTAAGAACTTAAAAATTTTTAATTTACCTATTCAAACCATATCATTATTATTTGCTTTTATGTATAAATCAGAAATAACCAATTAAAAAAAAGGAAAAAAAAATCCCCCCCCCAAATTTTTTGAACCCCCTTATGATTCATCACCCCAAACTCAATTCCAGCCTTCCCTTTGTGGTATGGTACCTAGCAGTACAATTTCAGAGAGATCCATACACTTGAACACAAGTTATTGTCTGGAAACTAAAAAAATGCTTGTTTTTTGGCCCCAAATTCCTCAACGTTTATGGCAATTACCCCAAAACTCAAACCCAGCTTTCCCTTTGTGATATGGAACCTTGCAGTACAATTTCATAAAGATCCATACACTTACACACAAGTTATTGTCCTGAAACTAGAAAATGCTTGTTTTTTTGCCCCTTTATGGCCCCTAATTCCTAAAATTTGAGGGAATTACCCCCAAAATCAATCCCAGCATTCCCTTTGTGGTATGGTACCTTGCAGTACAATTTCAGAGAGATCCATACACTTGAACACAAGTTGTTGTCTGGAAACTAGAAAAAATGCTTATTTTTGGCCCCTTATTCTTAACGTTTTAATTTGGGCAATAACCCCCAAACTCAATTCCAGCTTTCCCTTTGTGATATGGAACCTTGTAGTACAATTTCATAAAGATCCATACACTTACACACAAGTTATTGTCATGAAACTAGAAAAATGCTTGGTTTTTGCCCCTTTTTGGCCCCTAATTCCTAAAATTTTAAGGCAATTACCCCCAAAATCAATTCCAGCATTTCCGTTGTGATATGGAACCTTGTGGTACAATGTAAGAGAGATTCATACACTTACACACAAGTTATTGTCATGAAACTAGAAAAATGCTTGTTTTTTGCCCCTTTTTTGGCCCCTAATTCCTAAAATTTTGAGGCAATTACCCCCAAAATCAATCCCAGCATTCCCTTTGTGATATGTAACCTTGTGGTACAAAGTCAGAGAGATCCATACACTAACACACAAGTTATGTCTGGAAGTTACAAAAATGCTTATTTTTGGCCCCTAATTCCTTAACTGTTGGTACCATAACCCCCAAAATCGATCCCCACCTTCCTTTTGTGGTATTGAACCTTATGATTAAATTTCATAGAGATCCATTCACTTAAACTAAAGTTAGAGTGCGAAAACCAATGTGTCTTCGGACGACGACGACGCCAACGTCATACCAATATACGACCACAAAAAATTTTTGCGGTCGTATAAAAATGTGCTGCGCCTGGAGCAGCTGGATACGACCAAAGAGGTCGAACTCTGAACAGTTGGGGCAAGTATTGACACAATATTGTTGCGCAATACTTAGTAAATCTGTTTAAAAACTAAATATAATAATTTACACACCTTGTTTGGTGTGTATCTCCTGCCATATCAGTATTTGTAATTTTTGTTGTTTCTTTATATAGATCAGAAATAATTTATGTTAGAATCAGCTTAGCCAGTATTAGAAAAGTCTTGTTTTTGGCCCCTATTTGGCCTCTAGTTCCTTAACGATTAAAGCCACAACCCACAAAATCAACCCAAACCTTCTGTGTGTGGTATGGAACCTTGTGGTACAATTTCATAGAGATCCATTGACTAACATTTGCAATGTTAATTATGATAAAAAAGATGTGAAATTTGGTGTCCCCCAAGGATCTATTCTAGGTCTTCTACTATTTGTCTTATTTATAAATGACCTTCCCCTTTGCATTAAAAATTGTAAAACAGTCTTGTATGCTGATGATTCTACTCTTCATAAATCCGGGAAAAACAGAAAATTTACATGATGATGTACAAGAAGATTTATGCAGAGTTGAAGAATGGTGCAAAATGAATAATATGTTCATCAATACTAAAAAAACAAAATGTATGGTTACTGGAACAAGTCAGAAGTTACCGTAAATTGGGAAATTTTGGCGTCAGGATATTTTGGCAGTTTTCTCTCGAAAGGCATGTGTTTTATTTTGGTGTGTGTAATTTTGGTGCTTCGTCCAATTGTTATTTTTAATTTTAGTACAACAGTAGTGAGCAAGCTCATTCATATTTGTCTTTATTTACCCGTTTATTGACAACATATCATTGAATTTATCAAACGAGAAACACGACTTAGTTAACCTAATGAAGGAATCGGAATCGGATACGGATGCAATTGCAAATAATTCCGTATATTGTAGTTCAAAGCTTAAAGAAGTTATGAAATCAAATCTTAAACATTAAAATCACCTTTTAAATAGATTGTTTATTTTTAACAAATATCATATGAAATAAATTTTAATCATCTCTATTGCAGTACATGTTAATCTATTGACAATCAAGGATTTAAATTTTAATCCTTATGCCCCTGGCAGTACAAAAGTCATGTTAATTAATTGAAGATAAAGGATTACAAGGAGTTTTGATGTTCTAATTACCAATAACGGTGTCTAATCAGCAAAAGCCTGGCATATTTATGACGTGTGAATAAAAATTCATGCTATATTTTCTTAACAATTTCAGAAAATTGACAATTAAGTAAAAATTATATAGTGTTGTTGTCAAATTATACCAGGTATTTATTTGCAGAGATGTATAGAATTGTACGAAATATACGTTAGATATAATAACATCAAATATTTTCCTCAACAATTAACATTACGATATTGTCGTACCGGTACACGATTTTGGCGTTTCAATTTTTAGCGTTTGCTTTATTTTCGTGTATTTAATTTTGGCACTTTCATTGGAGGCACCAAATAAACCAAAATAAAACTACCACCAAAATAACCCAATTTACGGTATCAACTCAATCTTTTCAACCAAATTTACAAATAAATTCAGAAACACTACAAAATTCATCATGTGAAAAATTATTAGGTGTTAAAATTGACAACACACTTAGCTGGACAAATCAAATTGATCAAATTTGTGCTAGCATTTCATCAAGAATATACCTTCTTTCTAAATTGAAATTTTTAGATACTAATGCAGGGAAAGCATATTATAATGGGTATATTCTGCAGCTCATTGATTACTGCTGTATTGTTTGGGGAGAATGTAATAAACAGCTGCGCCATCAGCGCATGATACGCCCCTTGTCTCTTCAAAGAATAAGTTCAATAACTTCTCAATGTTATATCAGAAATTTATAAAAAAAAAAAATGGGAGGTTATCTTAATAGATATAAATCAGTCATCAAAGTTCAATGAAAGCTCAAAGCATTTTAAGGATATCGTCCGAAAACTTGAAAATCACCCCTTTTTTACGAATAACTAGGAAACGTAAAATCTAAAATTCATGAAAATCAAATTGGAGCTTACAACAATAGATAAAAACAATTTAACAAAGTTTCATGAAAACTGTTGTAAGCATTTTTGAGTTATTGTCCGAAAACTTGAAAATCCCCCTTTTTTTAATAAATAAAACCCCATAACTAGTAAACATAAAATCTGAAATTTATAAAAACTGAAAGGGAGCTTACGTCAATAGATATAAACATTTCACCAAAGTTTCAGGAAAACTGCTCAAAGCATTTTTGAGTTATTGTCCGAAAACTGGAAAATCCCCCTTTTTGTAATGAATAAAACCCCGTAACTCGAAAACGTGAAATCTAAAATTTATAAAAATCATAAGGGACCTCATGTCAATATATATAAACAATTCACCAAAGTTTCTTGCAATTTGGTGAAAGTGTTTTTAAGTTATTGTACGAAAACTTGAAAATCACCCTTTTTGTAATGAATAAAACCCCAAAACTCGGAAACGTAAAATCTAAAATTTATAAAAAAACGAAAGGGAGCTCACGTCAATAGATATGAACAATTCACCAAAGTTTCATTCAAATTGGTTAAAGCGTTTTTGAGTTAATGTCTGACATGTTGACGACGGACGGACTACGGTATACCATAATACGTCCCGCAAACGGGCGTATAAAAATGAAGGGATAATAAGAATATTAAAACTTCAAAAAAGAGCAGCAAGATTAATTCTTGATGCAGACCCTTTATCCCCATCAGCCCCCTTATCTAAAGAACTTGGATGGATGACAGTAGAAAATAGAATCAAATACCACAAATATTTACTGCTATATAAATGTATGCGGAAAGAAGTACCACAGTATCTACTTCAAAAGTTTCAACTTATATCTGTTAATAATCCTTATGCTTTAAGGAGTGTTACTCAAGGTAATTTGATAGTTCCTAAGCCAAAAACTGAACTGTTTAAAAAATCTTTTGCTTATTCTGGATCAGTTTTATGGAACGGACTACCATATGAAATGCTTAAAGTGCAAAACACTTTTTGTTTTAAACAAATTATAAAACTATACTTGAGGCAGTCCCAATATTCAGTCTTGAAATGATTGCAACTATTACTTTTTTAGAATGTATGATTTTGATTTGTATATAATATATATTTACTACATGCACTCTGTAACTGTTTTATATGTTCTAATGGTACATGTATACTTAACTATCATGACTATACGATTGTGAACTGACTATGTGTTAATATGTTGTATGTTTGCTTTTTTTCTCTTATTATTTTTTTACTTGTATTGTATATGAGGGCCTCAGGGAAGATTAGTAATTGTAACTAACTGTGTTTACCCTCTTTAAATAAAGAATTTATTATTATTATTATTATAATACTTATAAGTATTTGTCCGGAAACCAGAAAAACCTTGTTCCTCCCCCCTTTTGCCCCTCATTCCTGAACGGTTTGAGCCATAACCCCCAAAGTCAAACCCAACCTTCCCTTTGTGGTATGGCACCTTGTGTTTCAATTTCATAGAGATCCTATCACTAATACTTAAGTAATTGTCCATTAACCAGAAAAACCTTGTTTTTCCCCCTTTTTTTGCCCCTAATTCCTGAACGGTTTGGGCCATAACCCCCAAAGTCAATCCCAACCTTCCCTTTGTGGTATGGAACCTTGTGGTACAATTTCATAGAGATCCATACACTTATACACAAGTTATTGTCCGGAAACTAGAAAAATGCCTTTTTTGGCCCCTTTTTGACCGCCAATTCCTAAACAGTTGAGACCATAACCCCCAAAATCAATCCCAACCTTCCTTTTGTGCTGTTGAACCTTGTGGTTTAATTTCATAGAGATCCAATCACTTATACTAAAGTTAAATCCGGAAACCAAATGTCTTCGGAGGACGACGACGACATGATAGCAATATACGAACGCAAATTTTTTGCGGTCGTATAAAAACTAAGTCAAGCTATCAGTAAAATACTAAAATATCAAAAAGAAAATGTTATTTCAAATCTTTGCTTCAGACATTCATTATCTCTTAATCATAGAGAAGCAACTTCCAAAGTTTCATAAAATTCTAAAAAGTTTTGAAAAATTTACTGATGTCCAAAATACTTTAACCCAAGACTGTTTCTAAATTCTAACTGTAAAAAAGCCAAGTTTTTCCATCAGCAACACTAATAAATAGTTCCCAAGGTTATAGGATATTTTTATTTTTTCAAAAGATGCTAACATCTTAAAGAAAGATTCATTGTTAATGACTGTGTTAGTTACTCCCTCCATCATGTAAATGTGACATGTGTTAATCCCTATAAAATATTGTCTATGCTTGAATCTTGAAATATTGCAATTTCTAATCATTTTTATATATGGATACTTAATAAATACAATATCAATCATTTCATCATTAAAAAGTTTTGAGTTCATTGGATTTAAGGTGTTGGTTCACTTGACTCAGCCACATTTAATGTCAGAATACATACCTATTCAAACAATCATCTCCACAGCCTAATTCTTTTTCCGTTTGTGGTCTTTTACAATTACAAGGGTGTGGTTCGTACGGACATACAGGTTTGATATCAACATGAACATCTGAATAGATATCAACATAAAATTAACATTCATGTACATGTAATATGAAATTTTTGAAGTACAGTTATTTCATATATATAATCCTAGCACATGTTGCATATATTACAAAACTAAACTTAAGTCAATTAAGCATGAAATACACATCATAATTACATTATGTCAAAGAAAAATTATTATAAAAATATAACTGTTACATAGAAATAATGCAAAATTTAATAGAAATCACTGAAGCATAAAAAGTAAACAATATTGACCCAAAGTTAGTTGAACTTTATGCACTGTATGAGTGTATCATAGCAGTAAAATGTTCTGTGATAAACCACATTGGGTTTCCGAGGAATGGACTTAAAATGAAAAATTTAAAACAAAGTCCACCAACAGACTTGTAGATGGATAAGATTGACACTTTATGCCTCCTTCACTTTCCTATCAAGATATAAAAATATATATATGTTCAATCCATACATAAATTATTGTTGACCATATTTTATTCTTTCATTTATTTTTTAAATTTGGTATAAAAGGAATATAAACCATTTATATAAAAAATTTGACTAAAAACGATAAATAATTGTTGACTAAATCTTTATGCTGGAATTGATTTTTAAATTCATAAAAAGAACAGAAACCATTTATGTCAAAAATATGACTTAAATGACTTAAACAGCTGTACACGATTATATATGACTGATAACATTTTTTAATGATAAAACTGTTTTACATAAAAAGTGTAATAAAGATTTATTCATTTCACAACATAAAATAATAATCACTTCAGTGACTTCATACAATATATGTCAACCACATGTAGAGTTATACATAATTAAATACTAAATTGTCTTCTTATTCTCCATCTATTGACAAGTCTCTTCCTTGTGTAAACAAAAACAAATTCTTCCTTCTCACTATAAACTTCATTTTTATTTAAACATGATACATCCTTATTTACAAAGCTAATATTAATATGTTAATTTTCTAACCATGTTTTTTTGTTTGCCATATAAAATTACATGATATTAATAATACAAATTTCCTTACAGGTAAATTGTACAGATCACATTATCAGTTCGTATTTGTCAATATTCTCCATTTAATAAAACACTTCAAATTTCATGGTAGATTTACAAACAGTTTAAAGTAACAAAATTTAAATATTTAATTCCTTTTCTGAGACATTGCTTGGAGCAATATGATCTAAAACCACAAGATCTAAGTGGTAGTATTAAAATAATTTGAAGATGCAAGATTATATCGAAACATATAATTTACAAGTCATGATAAAGTTTAATTTTTTCCACAATGTTGTCAAATCTCTGAATCAGCATTTCTACTACTAACAGAGACGAAACTTATTTTTAGTAAATGAGAATAATTTATTTGATTCAACTTGAAATGTGTTTACATGTAAGTGTATTGTTATATAAACATAAAAGCAGACTTGATATAACTGAGAACTTTATTTCAGACTGTACCCAATAACATAGCTACAGTGGAATGTGATTTTCTTTAGTTCCTCATATTATTTATAGCTTTGTATACAAGTTGTTTTCAAAATTTAATCTACGATGAAAAGTGTTTCAAGACAGTGACGAGTTACAAAAAAGAGTTTGAACTTTTTTCCAGTTAATGAAAATAGCACTTGGCTACACCATTATTTAAAGAATACCTTATACCTTTGGTAAAAATTGATTGTTTTTTTGTCTTTGAAGCATTGGCTTTTAATTGTAAAAGAAATTGTTTTTGCTCATAAACTAGACATGTATTTATAAAAATATTACAGAATCAGACAAACTAATAAAAGTTTCATATCTATTCTGAGAATGCTTATTCATTAGCTTTTATAATACATTGCACCTGAATTTACTATAAAAAAAAATAATTATTCAAAATACAGTTGAAAATGTGTTGCTTTGTAATTTTTTCATGCCCTCCATTCTTTCAATGCCACTTTGCATAAACACAAGTTTTTATATGCTTTGATAAAACAGATTCCCTCAAGAATTTCTCCTGCAAACTTTCAACTTTCCCATAAATGCTTCAAAATCAGCATAAAACATGATTTGTGCTGATGACATTTTGATAACAGAATACTGACAGTGATATTGCCAAAAATTTTGCAAAAACCACAAATTTTCACACATCAACATCACATGTAAAGGAAATATAAGATTACCAATTATCAGATTACTCATTTTCCTTAACATTAAAATTGTTGACAGAGTTATGTAACTGCCTCATGATGTAATATTGTCCTTGTTTTACACACAAAGAAATGTAAGTAAAAAACTATTAACTGATATATCATTTCTGTGATGATTTTTCTTCTATACTGCTATCCAAATGCCACACAAGACCTTTTTGATGGTGAGAAAAACTTTGTAGTCTGGTATATAAAAGGGTAGATGTATTGACACCTCTATCTTTAACCCTATTTAAAGGAGCTAATCATTCTATTCAAAGGAGGGTAAAGAAAGCATAGCTACAGCTTCAGGAGTAACTATTTAGTCTTGACAACATTTAAGGGTTCATAACATTTAAATAGACCACATAGAAACAGAATTCCTCAAGAGTAAGGGCATGTATTGTGGTAGCTTGAAGAGTCAAACTGTATGAATTCTGTCAGATCCAACTGCTTATTTGGATATAGCCTGTTTGTACTGATGCGACGTAAAGCAATCATCGATTAATCAGATCCAAATGCCCTTCAAACAAGAGGTACTGGGAATAAAATCACAAAATGATGTCCTCCACACCCCTTGCAAAGTCCATAATTTGCTGAGGAACACATTTGAAAAATAATTTTGATGAAAAACAAAATAGGTCCACAATGGCATATGGTAAAGATTAGGGGTTTAGGAGAAATGGACACAAGTGTGTACTTCATTGTGCAGATATGACGAAGTCCATGTCTTCAGAGAGTAAACCATAAAGTCATTCAGTTGAAGAACTGAAATAGGAGGTGCAAAAGAACATCTGTAAGTAAGATTCTGTTAAAGTTTCACATATTTCTGTCAAGCAGTGTTGGAGCAGTTGTGGATACAAAATTGGAACTGAAGCTTGAACTTAAGGAATGGATGGACAGACTGCCCCATCACTATATACCCCCTGCATAAAAAAGCAGGGATTCATAAATCTTGCCCATCAAAGTAGCATGTAACCATGTTGGAATCACCATCGCAATAATCAAAGATAACCTGCATTTTATGGTTTACAGTAATGATGAAAAGAGTAAGGAGTGTTAAGTAATACTCAAGATGGATGCACTGCCAGTCAGTGACATCATATGTACTGGAATATTACAGGACATACAAGTATTTCCCTGAAGACCATCATTTACCTCCATGGAACTCATATTTTGTATCAACTTTAAAAAAAATTGAAACGAGATAGCTTGTTTATTAATGAAAGGTGCATTTCTATGCACTTAACTGTAAGTTTAAATGACTCATTTTCTTCCAATTACTTTGGCAACAATACAAAACAAAACCACTTTAGAATAACTTTTCCTACTCATCCGAATATCTCTACACACTACATTTAAATTTTTTACGAGATGTTAATAGGAAATGAAGTGGCTGATTGCCAGACAGAATGTTAATTGAAACAGGTGGCTTCAGACATGGCCTACCTCACTGAGATACTGATTTATTTACTCTTCTTATCATTATATACAATTTTATATCAATTTAATGTCAATTATAACAAGATGATAGGCTACACAATTTATAGCAATTTTATCAGTTTTTATAGTACATTTCTTCAGTTTCTGAAGCATATATTTTTTTTATATAAATAAAACAGAAATAAATCATGAAGTTTTAACACTGAAGGTAAAATTAATTTAGACACTAAAAAATTGAGTTAAAAACTTCAAAATTTATGTTTTAGAAAATGCAACAACTCTGCTCAGATAATCTCATCTATTGAATTTTGTCCAATCAGAGGTGATATGAAATCTTACCAGAGATTGTTTTAGATTCTTTTTTCACCTGTTATCGTTTAAATGGATTCGGAAACCTTACAAATATCGCAGGGACAACTATGTGTATACAGTATCACACAGAAGGTTTTGTGATACATATAGAATAATAGCATTTTTGTTTTTTGACAACTCACTTTATCAGCAAGAATATCAAGTGAGCCTGGTAGGGCAAACTTATATACGAGCTGCTGAAGTCAGCATCAAATAATAAAATACCATTTTTCATTTTAGCGGCAAATTGTCTTAACTGAATGTTTTTTTGGTTGAGAGTATGAAATCAAATGAAAAAACTATTTTTAAGCCTACAAAACGTTGTGATAGTTGTTCTTTTGTATGAATAAAGTCACATGCATTTCATTGATAAATTGATGCAGATTGATATGAACATGTGTTGTTGATTCACTTATACCTGCCGTCATTGCCTTATACTTTTTCGAGTATAAAGTCCTGTCCACAATCTTAGAAATATTAGGCAGTAAGATCAAAGGGAAAATATACAAATTGCCCATGAAGAAATATCACACTCAACAGGAACCATGCCATTTTTAACTAACAACAGGGTTAGAAATCCATTCCCGATTTTGATCAGAAGTTATGGTGTAATACCATTCCTCTTAAGTCTGATTCCTTTGAATTGGTGATTTTTCAGAGATGTCAACTTATTCCACCCCCCCCCCCCCCAAAAAAAAAATTTGTGGGCTTCAAGTGTAGAAAACGTCATTAAATCACCCAAAGTGGTAGACACATTTTAAGGGATGACAATGGCTAAATAAGGTAATTTTTAACTTAGTAAGACAGGAATATCATAGTACTGTCTAACTTACTATTCCTTATTTTCTTGTATTTTCCATACACATCTTCTTTTTTTGGTATCTGAAAAGGAGTAAAAACAGAATTACAAAATACTGTAGTGTTTACAAAAAAAACCAAAAAAAAACAAAGATCAACTTGTGTATCAGCTTTGATTAAACTTGAATTAAAAACATAGACAAACACACAAATTAATTCACAATCATACACAAGTTGTATTTTAGTTGACATATAGCCTCAACATTCCAAAAATTTGAATGTCTTGATAAAGGTAAGTTAAATATAATATAAAGCAACAGAAGTGCTTCACTATGTAGCACAGTCTAAGCAGTGAATATCATAGTCCTAGCTTTACAGCAAAAGCAAACAACCTAACATTCTATTTTTATTCATCTATCCATCAATATAAAAACACCATTATCTGTTTATAATTTCAGGAAGGTGCGATTTTTCCAAAATTTTCAGCTTTTTTACCATGAACACACCAATGATGCAAAGACAATTTTTTTTTTTTTACTTTTAACTAATTCTGAAATACCTAATAATTTGCATGTACTTTACTGGCAGTAACATGAAAAATGATTTACACTTTGTTTAAATAAGACATATTTCGTTGTGTAAATGACCACATACAACAAGCTTTACAATCAATTTAAACATTCAAAATTTCCTGAAAAATTAATTTTGAACATAATCAGAATGCGTCTATGTCTGATGTGTTCCTTTACAAAAGAAAATGTTCTTATACATAAAAATAGTTGAGAGAAATTTGACAAACATGACATAACAGAAGAGAATTTGAAGAGAATTTGTTTGAAAAAGTGGCTGTAGATAGGAAAGCGACAGTTTGTTGAAGCACTGGATTTACCAGGTCTTTAACATGTAGCCACCACATATCGTATGGTAGTAAGAAATCTGTCATCGCCTCACGACGATATTTGCCCACATGGAGCGGAGGTGACAGTAGACACCCAACCTTTTCTCTGTTTCTCTGTGAGCTTCCTGTCTTCTTCTTTGGTCTGCAAAAATAAAAATACAAAACGTTACATTTAACCTGAAAATGTCCTCTTTTAACTTAATTTTCGGAACAACCGTAAAAATAAAATTCACTATTTAGCAGTTTGACCTATATACTACATGTACTACCGGCTGTGAATGTCACATGTGTTGGTTTTCTATCACAATGAAAATCTAAAGTTATTTTTTTCTCTCAAATGAATACATTTGATCTACTATTGTTGCAGGTCAAATTGTGACAAATTTATAGATTGCTTCTCAATTATTAAATTAACTTTAAAGCTATCATAATGTTAACCTTCCTATACACAAAGAAAGATGTCAATAGATAACATTTGTAACATATGCTATATAACTTTTTCACACTTAGAAGCAGAATAAAATCACACCGTTGTTCATAGATGTGTCCTAGATATTTTAGATGACACCAATACAGTTCTATTTAAAGCAATGGTACCAATAATACTGATAATACTTCTAATCAAATCAAAACATTGCCATATATGCTGAAACCATAAAACACAAATGCCATATGCTGGAATTTAATAACATGAGAGTCATCTTAACAACCCCAAAAGACCCTTACTTGTCATTCTATAATTGCAACATCATGTTACAGAAGAAATGAAGTCCTCAATTTCCAATTAAAATCAATTTCCACTACTGCAGTTTTCTCTCAAATCAATAATAACAGCTTCAATTAAGTCCCTCAGAGATTTTACAATGTTTACATTAAATTCATCAAATAGCTAATATTAAATCTACAATTTAATTATGTGCAAAATTGGATCTTTATCAGCTAAAATTGTCAACATGTTACTCTGTCTCATCTGGAGCCCCGAATGTTAAATCAATTTAGGTAACATTTGTCAAGATTGGAAGGGTTTACATCAAAGCATAACATCCTATGATTATCTAGTAAAATAACAATTATTTGGACTGAGTCATTATCATCGCTAATTACTTCTGTAGTGATAAATATTTCATCAGCTCTGCATGGAAAGTAATCTTTGGTGAAAATAGATTGGCACTAATCATTCTAAAGAAATAACAATGACAAACTGACACATAAGATGATAGTTACAGCATTTAGAAAAGGAAAATGCCAATGAATTGTCTTAAATATTTACAACTGTCAAGGTTGTGCTTCTATCATGTACCCAGACAGAATCATACTGTCATACAGAAAAGATCTCTACATTACTTCATCAGTGTAAATAACACACTTTTATCATTAAGTTTGGTCTAAGTGTTAACTAATAATTGCCGATACTTGTCTAAATGACTAAAGGCACTAGTACTGTGGTCAACCACAACAAATTTGACAAAGGATTTACTTTTTATAAGCTATTTAAAGTCTTTTCTAGTAGAGGAGTAAAATCCCCTCTATTTTTCTAAACATCTTATCAATTTCAGATTACTTTTTACCAAAATATCAGATAAGAAATGTTGTGATTGATAAATCAACATCAAAAGTAAGACTAGGTGAGATTTTAATGATAACCTTCTTTACCCCTGGACATCATCATTCTATCTGGGATATATAATCCCTCTTACAAAACAAATGTCTTTCAGTTCAAATCTGTTAACCTTTCCCACAAACTTATACCAAAGATTTCTCTTTGTTCAAAATTCATGACCTCTATCAGTAAAAAGAAAATTAAGACTATTTTGACCTACTCAATGACCCTAACCTAAAGATCATATCTTGGACTTGACTATAGTTTGTTTTGTTGGGAAGTGAATAGCTCTGCACCCATATGCTCCATCAACAAGAGAAGTTATTCCCATTGTTACATTTCAAATAATTATTTTAAAGGGGACTCTATAGTTTGACACCTGCTGTTATAAATCTGTTGTACCTTTTCATTGAACTTATAAAATGTTGGTCATCTTATTATTTTTACTCAACTATTAAAGCTACATAATGAATGAAAGGAGACGTGGGGCAAGACAAAAAGGAAACAGCAACCCAACAACACAGAATGACCAAACTCAAGTCGTTTTAAAAATACAATTCAATATTAAGGCAGTTTAACAGATAAATATTTTTTCCTTCATTTTTTGCAATAATTTCTGAATTTACAGTATCTGGATTTACATGTAAACATGGAAGTTTGAACTTTTGACCTGGAAGAGATATCTAATGAAAAAATTCAATTTAAAAAATGATGTCATTCAACCAATTTAGAATTCATTTGTCACGCTAAATAAATATTTGATGTAAATCATGAATTTAATTGTATCCTAAAATTGATTAAGCAAATCTAAAATAAATTGGCTTTAAATTACAATATGTTTCTGTTTCAAAATAAAAGGAAATAATTGAAGTCTTCTACAATGAACAAAGCATGATAGAAATAGGATGCATGTAAATACACAAACAAAATCTTGACAATAAATGTAGGCACATGTATATATGATCATAGCGAGAGAAAAGCCATTAAATCCAGCATGAGCTCTGACAAATGAAATATGTGAAGGATATACAGTAGTAGCAAAGTTCCCAGTAAGAGCCTCACTAAATGACAATATAAAGTAGGGGATAAAATAAAACAGTAATCCTATAGTTGTTGAGGTTATCTATAAATTTGACATTGAATTTTAATTTCTTTTCATTTGAACACCAATGATATCAGGTTTCTATTTACACAGAAGGTGAATGATTAATATAATAGGAATATTGAGTACTTGCAAGGAGAGACAGCTAAATGAATTGACAAGTCTTTTCATATCTTAGCTTTATGGCTATTAAATTAGTAATATCATGGATACAATACAAACACATGTGATGTAATTGGAAAGGAACCAAAATACAAAGAGTGAAATACTTCACACTGGTTACTTTTTAATATGGAATGTCTTTGGTAAATATGTAAAAAGTGTGGTTCGTGAGGACATCAAAGATAACAGAAGCTATTGACAGAAGAGTTTATATTATACTGTCATACATTATTAATTTATTTTCTTTCTTCAAGATGAGGGATAATCTTACACAATTGTTTATGTATGCCTAAGATTCGCCCATTTTTGAATATTAGAAATTCATGTAATTAACCCTTGCATCCTGGAAGATAGCATGGCATTAGTGACATTACTGACCAGAAAATTCTTTAAACAAACATATATACACACACTAAAATATTCTTTATACCCCTTAACCTAGTATACATTTGATATAATGACATCAATAGCATTAACAAATTAACAATAAAAAAAAATTAACTACCACTGCATACAAATCTCACTTCTTAATAGTTTTCTTTTTGGAAGAACTATTTTAACCAGTATTGATTTGCTTTCAAACATGTAAAAAAGAAATGTTTTGGAATTTGGAGAGTAACAGCTTATTTACTTCAATATGTACCAAAGGGAAACACTCTTACAAGAATTCCTTCATCATCAAGCTTTCACTTCATCCTATGAGACCTTCTGTTCATTCAACAACTCAGTTAACACTCTCTTTATAGAGACCCTCATTTAATTGGCCATTAGATTAACCTTCTCTAACACAAACTGAGATAAGATGGAATTTGATGAGATTTTATTTGCCTGTCTGATACCATCAAAACAAACAAAACAAATCTGGTAGAAAAGCTATCACAACAAATTAGAATCTCCCCTGGCTCAGCATCTATCAAGTCTATATAGTTATCACAGTAATGTAATAGGCCTATAATTTCTCAATGTAATCACTGCTTAGTGTTTTCTGACATAACATTGATACAAGTGTGTACAATTGATAGTGTGATAAATCTTCCAGTGCAAATGTAATTAATGGCCTAACTACAGATGGTGAAACTAATGTGCACTTAGCTAATTACTTTCTGTATTCCTTAAAATTGAGAGGGTGGGCCAGATTACACAGTGTAAAAATATCATAAATGGCCAATCCTTATTTTAACTTATGTAATCCCTGCATTTTAACACAATTATGCACTTTCATTGCTTGGAGTGTCATCTTTCCGCTGATCATTTAAAGTTTTCTTACATTATTTTTCAAACATTAATTAAAAAGTACAGGTGCAAGTTACAAGAGTACACAGTTTTATCAAAGTTATGACACTGAATCAACAAAAAAACTATTTAAAATTGAATTAGATTACAGAGAAAAGTTTATTTAAGTAGAAAGTCAGTAGTAACCAAAAGAACTGATTGATATGTCTATGTGATATCCTGTATAATCTCCTTACAATGAGATAGTAAACCTCTCAAATTATAACCATTTTAAAATCTTATAAACACATTCCATTTGTGGTTTTCCCACAAACAAATTTTATGAGGGGTATCGATTGTTTGCTCAGGCGCATCATTTTAATAGGTAGACTTTTCAAATAATATGACAGCTTTCTCCTACCCATGTCCCTGGTCACCTGCCTTTCAACTAATTTCTAACAGAACAAAGAAATATATCTGAAAATTGAATGCCAAAAATGTCAATAAGGAATATTAAAATTCATTTAAAAGCATCATATTTGCCAAAGAATAATTGAAATTCAGCATCCATTTTCAAAAGCGTGTCAAAACATATGGCAGTTGGCCGTTAGCCTTAGCTTTCAAACTCAATAAAAAACAAGATGACAATAAATAGCCATGATCTGAAGGAAGAAAATCCTATAATTTAACTGTAACCTGATTCCAGTAAATTCAATTACAGCTGAACTGCAACAGTTTAAATAATCAATACAATAATGTCTTTCAGGTATCCATCAGCTAATGCCATATTAAATTAAATCAAATCGTTTTTCTTTTGTCTAATCAAGATATTGACCCACAATAATGTACGCTAATTTCCTTTTTCAGTTAGAATAATTTTGTCTTCCACAATCAATGTTCACCTTTTAATGCTGGTAATAAAAAACATCCCAGCAAATCCAATACTGTTGTTGATTGCACTTTAGAATCTACCATTATAGAAATGGAAATGAATGGAATTCCCAAATGAAACATAAAATGTTTCAACTTGATCATATTAACTTCCTCTTCTGAAAATTAAACAACT